TTAAATAGGAGAAAAAACATGGCGTGTCGCCGCAATGTTTAGACCACGACCACGTGGAAACTGAGAGAAAGCATGATTAAAATTTTATTGAATAAGCAACCTGTTAATTAAGTTCCTGCAAAATTAAGTTAAGTTTAATTGTCAATTTTTAATGATTCATTAATTGGGTGCTAAAAACATGTTTATCTCACAGAAATTAAAGCTTAGCTTAGCTGTCTTAATTGATCATCTCCAAGACTATTCTAATCTAATTTCTTCATTTTTGAATCTTTATATTATATAGTGGAATTTTTAAATATTATCATCTCTCTTTCTATTTTAAATCTTTTTATTATGAAAATAATTGTTAACATGTCTCCTTAACTAACGCAACATCTTATTCTCATTAACATATAAAACATTTTTATTATTATAAAATTTAAGTTAAAAGCATTGACCCTCTCAAATATAATAGAATGACAAAATTCCTCCTATAATTTTCAAAATCGAGAGAAATACCAAATTACTCTTCTTCCATTTATCTTAACACCTGGAAAATTTATGTATCTCCAAAAACTGAAGGCTAGTTTTATTATTTAATCAAATCTCAGTATTTGAATGATTAGGTAGACAAGAAAGATACTGGAAAATTTGATTGCAGACGATGAGATGAGGTGTCCTTTGTTTTCCAGGTTAGTGAGGGAAGCAAAGTCAGTGATTTCAATGGGGGAATATATTCTTTGATCATTTTTTTTTTTTTTTTTTACTGCTAATAAATTACACACTCAACCTAACCCCAGATTAAACAAACACTTTGAGGTGGCATTCTTTTGGCTCACTATTTTTCTCCCATTAGAAGATAAATACAGTTAAAACTCTCCACTTAAATAAACCCTACTCTCTCCAAATCCTTTTCTATGTTTTTATATATAAGCCCATGGACTTAACTGATAACATCAACACCACCAACACCATCACAAACCCACATACAGAAACTCAGTCCCCACCATCCAAGTCTTTGTCTTTCACCAACGCCTCATTTCTTCAACCTCAAATGGTGGTTTCCTACAAAGAATGTCTCAAAAATCATGCTGCAAGTCTAGGGGGTCATGCTCTTGATGGCTGTGGTGAGTTCATGCCATCTCCCACAGCCAACTCCACCGATCCCTCCTCCCTCAAATGCGCTGCCTGCGGCTGCCATCGGAACTTCCACCGCCGTGACCCGTATGATCCCACCTTCCCCCACTCGTTGCTTCCACCACCGCTGCCTCCAGCATCAGGCGTTGCGCTTCCGAGGAGCTTAAGTCCGAGCACGGACCCGAGCACGGCGCCGAGTCCGGACACAAACTCACCTCAACAACAGGTGACATCACCGGCTCCCTGTTCTTACTACTCATCAGCACCCCACATGCTGTTGGCTCTGAGCACGGCGTATTCTGGGCCGTCCGATGATCACTACCCTCACCACCAGGGGTTCAATCTAAAGATGGAGAACGTTAACACAAGTGGAAGAAAGAGATCAAGAACCAAGTTTTCTAAAGAGCAGAAGGAAAAGATGTTTGCTTTTGCAGAGAAACTGGGGTGGAGGATGAACAGAGGCGAAGAAAGATTAACGCAGGAGTTTTGCAGTGAAGTTGGTGTGAGTAGACGTGTGTTCAAGGTTTGGATGCACAACAACAAGCAGGCTTTTGGGAAGAAAGGATTGGATTTGAGTACTGAAATTAACAAGAAGAATGAGATTTGCGTCAATGGTTATGCAGAAAACGGCAACAATCAGCGTGAAGAAAATGCTTCTCCTCCGAAATCGGAAGAATGAAGATAGCAATTAAAGAAATTAATTTTACAACTGTTATTTGTTTAAGTAGGGCTAAGTAATTAATTAATGAGATAATTAACTTATTATATCTTGTATTTGTGTATAAATTTGACTGGTTTGCGTTTTGGTTAATAAAAATATTATCCAAATATCTAAAGAAAGATTCTTCAATCCCCATACTTGTTTGTCTAAGGGGTTATCAAAAATTGAGGGGGGTGTAAGATATGTCATGTGCAATTCTGACTCCATTCATTAATAAAGAAGCAATACTAGTTCAACTTTTGCAGATATGTGCACCCTTGTCTCTTCTTGGGACCATGCCTCTGATACGGTCTATTGGATTTGGATTAAGCTTTAGAATTAGATTGGTTTGACAAATAATGAAGCTGTGAAGGGGTTTCTAATTGAGTATGTTATCTGAGTCTGAGCTTTAATGGCAAGAAATGAGTTTTGGGTAATCGAGGTTAGGTGACATAAGCAATGTGCAACCTTTCCCTATTTGGTCGGTAGATTAAAGCGGCAAGTTTTGTTTTTCTTATGCTTCTAATAATTTATTAGAAGTTTTTTGGCTTACTAATTCGCCACATGTCACTTCCATTTGCACTGTTATCTCTTTCTCTTAATAAATACCCATTTGAGCCCAAGTGAAGTCCAACATGGATTGGCCCAGTTTCTTGAATCAACATTCATTCACTATTAATTTAGTAAGAAGATTCGTATTACGTGAGGATCACTGAAAGAGAAAGCCAAATTACCAAATGATTTGTTAGATAGACTGGGGTGTTCTTGTTAGGCTTAGAAGAGTGATGGTGGGGGCAGAATAGATTTAAAATCTACCCACTCCATTCCTATAATGACTTGTCTTCTTTAATATAATAATAACATTGCATGGCCTATTTGGACTAGGAAACTTACCATCTATGGTTATTATTTTATTAATTTAGCGACTCTGGAAACCTTTCTGCTTTCCTTGAAATAAAAAATCAAAAGCTTCCATATCTAACAATTCAACAACGCAAAAATATAGCATTCCTTTGTGCAGTATGAAGCTTGAATTAAATGTTTATATTTATGATACAATTTGTAGATTATTAATTAAAGAAGATAATATATTGTAAGTGGTATATATAAAAATGAATGGACTAAAAACTAATCTCATCCGTTTACAAAATAGTCCAACAAAAGCAGAAGGGACAAGGCCATTAATAATGGAGGAGGAATAGATTAAATTATCATACCTTTTGCCAACACGTTCAATGGATGAAGACATCCTAATTAAGAACCCAGAACCGAAAATCAGAAAACTTGCATTACCCCCCACTTGTGTTTGAATTGCAAATATTCGGGTGGGCAATTTCATTTTCTTATCAAATTCTTACGTAATAGGAGAAACCATGATAATAATGATACTCAGGATTAATCCTGCAAGTAACCCTTGCCATGCAATTTCTGAAAGTATAAATAGATAACGTGTATCTTATCAAAGTCAGAGGTGAAAAGATGGTAAAAGCAATTTGTGTTGCTCTAATATATTACCAATAATACTACACTTACACCACTCCCTTACATTAATCTCTTACATCATGATGTGGCGGATGCTACCTTATCGTCACGTCATTTTCCCCAAAAATAAAAAAATTACAAACCTTAAATTTCAAATTTCACTCAACCCTAAATCAAACCCTAATCTCCACATTAATTTTCAAAAAATTTGCAAATCCTAAAGTTCAAATCTCCTTTTCTCTCTCTCTCAGCCTCTCTTGCCACCACTTGACTGCTCTTCACCCTTCAGCTCGTCCTCTCCCCTTTATCTTCATGGACTCTTGATTTATGCAGCCGCACTCGAGTTGCACATGCTTGATTGTTTGCATTTGGGATTTATAGGGTTTTCTTTATCCGCTAAGCAATGTTTTAAAACCCAGCCCAGACCGGCCGGTCAAATCGGTTCGACTAGGACCCGGCTGGTGAGCCAGGTTGGTTGGGGCAAAAAATCAGCACCTTCCATCTGCCCAATTACACCAATGATTGGACTGGCGCATTGTAGCAAATCGCCGGTCCAACCGTTTTTTTTCTTCAAAAAACTAGGTCTAATACAAATAAACCCTTTCATCCCCTAAACCCAAATTCTAGCAATTTCCCCCAATTTTTACGCCATTTCCCTTCACATTTGCTCTGAAAATCTTCCACCGTGACTCCCCTTCACCATTGATTTCCTCTCTTCACCGTGGACTTCCTCCTCTTCGTCGTCAACTGGTATTGAGACCCTCTTCCTCCCATTTGCGCGATCTCCTCTCTTCACCGTCAAGCTCCACCTTTTCGACGTTAGCTACAACTCATTTTCGCTAGGTACCATCGTCGGTGCTTCCTTTGTTCTCTACTCCCTGTTTACTTTAATTCACTATTGGTATGCATCTTCTTTTGTCAATCCATCATTTTGCGATTTTCTTTAGACAGTTTGACTTTGCCATTTCTTATGTTTACATAGTACACACACATGCCATGCAAGAATTAACCAAACATATTGAATCTCCTAATTGACTTAATTTAATATCTTCATTGAATAAGCATATATTCAAATCTCCTATTTCAATGTTTTAGGCAACAACAGAATTGATCAGCACGGTTCTGGCTATATAGGGTCAAATGTTGTTAGAAACTTTATAGTTATCTCTTCTAACATTATAAAACCTTTAATTTAATTTCAAAAGATATTTTCTTCTTTTATGCATATGATTTCTATAAATTCAGTAATAGAATATGTAAATTTTTGGTTTGTTATGTTGTTCGATTATTATCGACACTAACTTATTTGTGTAGCCAAGGTAGACATCAAGATTATTAAAGATAAAAAATGTCATCATTTGGGTCGTGTCAACAATCTTCTTCCATGGATGTTTCACAATCTTTTCGAGGAAGGAATGATATAGCATAGGGACATGTTAATGAGGGCATGGATGAAAATGGGAAGAAGATATTAACATGTCTTTACTGTGACAAGATAATCAAAGGTGGATGTATTTATTGAGTGAAACTTCATCTAGCGAGTATAAAGGGGGAAGTTGGAAAGTGCTCTAAAGTTCCTTTTGATGTTAAATTCAAGATTCAAGAAGTACTAAACGAAATTAGGGCAAAGAATAAACAAAAATTTGAACTTCGTAAGAATTTCAATCCTTATGGAGCTAGTGTACAACAATTTGACGGTGATATGTTAGATGAAGATCAAGATTATGAAGAGGTTTCTCCATTTCTAGCTCCAACTTCAACTTCAAGCACTAAGAGAAAAAAACCTATTAGCATTGGTGACTATTTTGCTCCAAGGACTAAGCCTGAGTCTCAGCCCTCAATTAAGAGTGGTTTAGTTGGAAAAGAAACTAAGTGGAGAGTGGACATGGCTGTTGCAAGGTTATTTTATGATTCTTGCATCTCAATCAATGTTATTAATTCAATTTATTTTCAGCCTGTGGTGGATGCTATAACTGCAATTGGTCCTGGGTATAAACTCTCAACTTATCATAGTTTGCGTGTAAATTTGTTGAGAGATGCTAAGAAAGAAGTGCAATTACTTGTTGATGGTTACAAGAAAACTTGGAAGGATGTTGGATGTAATTTAATGGCTGATGGTTAGACAGATAATTCACATAGGTCGCTGATTAATTTTCTAGTGTATTGTCCTAAAGGAGTGTGCTTTGTGAAATCAGTGGATGTTTTTGATGTTGAAAAGGATGCTGGAACATTGTTCAACTTGTTTGAGGAAATAGCTTTATGGGTTGGACCAAACAATATTGTCCATCTTGTCACTAATAATGGAGAAAATTATAAAGTTGTTGGAAGAATGTTGTGTGAAAAATATAACAGTATTACTTGGTCTCCCTATGCAACACATTGCATTAATTTGATGTTAAAAGACATAGTTGAGATGAATCACATAGTCAACCTTTCGAGATGTGCATCTGAGGTTACGAAGTTTGTGTATAATCATTCGTTTGTGCTAGCTTTGCTGAGGAAAAACCAGGTTATATACCTTTACCTCATATGTTTATAATTTACATTGTCAAGTCATATTATATATATACATTTTTTTTTTTTTTTATAATTTACTAAGTACTAACATCTATTATCTATCACTTGAATAGGCTTGGACAAAAATTATACGCCCAAGCACAACCCGTTTTGCCACAACTTTCATTGCATTGAGCAGCCTACATCAGGACAAACATGACTTGCAATCTACGGTGACAAATAAAGCTTTTGTGGAGTCTCAATATGCAAAAACTAAAAAAGGCAAAACATTTATTTCCATAATTCTAGATAACCGATTCTGGGATGACGTTGGTATAATTTCCAAAGTTGTGGGTCCATTGATGTATATGCTTCGGATTGTAGACTCAGATAAAAGGTCTTCAATAGGATATGTGTATGATGATATGTACAGAACGAGGATGTGGATCAAGAAGTTGTTTAAGAATTAAAAAAATTTGTACAAGCCTTATACAACAATTATTAAGATACACTAGGATAGGATGTTGTACCGTGGTATTCATGCAACAACATATTATTTGAATCCTGCTTTTAAATATGACGAAGATACTTTTTCCAAAAAACCAGAGGTCATGTATGGTTTCCTTGACACTATTGTGAGTAAAGCAAGTGTGTTCAAAATGAACAAGACAATGTTACTAGAGGAGAGTAGATTGTATCGAGACCATTTAGAAAGCTTTTCTCGTGCGCTTGCTCTTCAAACTTGCAAAACTACACGTCTTGGTATGAAATGGTTATTAACTTTTCAAGTCTAATTTTTCAGTTATGAAATTATGTTTATTTCTTATGTTTTATACTTTTATTCTCAATTAGATGAATGGTGGAGGACATTTGGGTTTAGTACTCCAAATTTGCAAAAGTTTGCAATCAAAATTCTAAGTCAAACTTCAGCCTCTTCGGGATGTGAGCGAAATTGGATTGTTTTTGAATGCATGCATACTAAAAAGAGGAACATAATGGAGCATCAACGGTTGAATGATCTGGTTTTCACTCATTAATTATAACTTGTGTTTGCAAAATAGGTATAAAGCCTTCATCATTTTTCTTATTAATTATTATCTCTTATTTTATTTTCATTGATGTCTTTATTGGTTATGATTTTAACATTTAATTCTGGTCTTTCAGGAGTTGTTACAAATATGATCCTATTGATTTTAAAAGTATTGATAAAACTTAATGTTGGATAGTTGATAAGGAAGAGGAGGTTGGTGAACTTAATTAAGATGAACTGGAACAATCATTATATGGAGAATGATCTATTCCTGTAGATGGTGGTGATTACTCTTCTTATTATGACTCAACAGATGCTTCAGAAGGTTGTTTCCAATTTTTTAAGCAATTTGAATTTGGTAGTAACTAGTTTAAATGGGAAGATTTAACTTATAGTTTTCCTTTTTTGTTGGAACTTTTTGTAGATGATGTTGCTGATGTTAATAATGATGATGATCATCTGTCAGATAGTGTGTGAATTGTGAAGTTCAATTGAGGATGGAATGATGGATTGAAGACCATTGGGTGAAGATCTTTTTTTGCTAGAATGTTGATCAATTATTATGTGATTTCTTCCTTAATTTTGTTATTTTGATTTGTAATTAGTTGTAATAGGGATTGTATTGATGTAATGATGTTTGATGATGCCTTGTTAAGGACTTTTTATTCAAGAATTTTTTATTTGATCTTGATTTATGGAATTTTGGACTCTGTGAATAGTAGTTTTGCTGACGTCAGCATGATGACATCACCGGTTGAACCGGTCAACCCGAGATCCGACCAGTTTGCCGAGTTTTACCTCGTGTTGGTTTTTAAAACATTGCCACTAAGTTTGAGGTAACGTCTCTTTTTATTCTATCATCATTATGATACACTCCATTTTTTATTACATAGCACTACTAGGAAAATACAACAAAGAAAAAAGAAGTCATAGATAATTAGTGTTTTTGTAGATATTATGCATTGTTTTGTCTTTTGAAACTACAAAAATAATACCTTGATTCACGTTATTTATTTTATTATTGTGAATGATATTGAGTTTATGATTTTATACTTCCTGCTTGTATTGAAAAACCACAAGAGCATATGGTTACATTATTAGTTAGTTTTACTGAAGTATAATTTTTTTTTTTTTTTTTTTTTTTTTTTTTTTTTTTGTAATTGTTTTGCAAATTATTAGGGATAGAGGCTTCTGTTTTTAGTTACCTAGGTTTACATTTGATTGAAAGAGGATTTTTGGTTAAGATTTTACCTAAGAAAATTATTTATGAGGTATCATGAAGGTTGAGATTGCGAGTGATCCTAGTGGGAAAGTCAATGGGGAAGAGGATGTTTTCAGTTATGATTTGAGGTTGGCAAGGTGATGGAAGAGAAGGCGAATTGCCTCTGAAAATTTTAGGCTCACTCGCTGTAGCCATAAGGCTTCAAAACAAATTGTTAACAGTGATATCAAAAACAACAAGAATAAAGGGTCTGTTGCAGAAGGATAGTAGTTGATCCAAATTATGAGGTGTTTCTAAATGATATGGTAATGTATATAATGATGTTGGGTGTGCAAATAATGTTAATGATGCTGATAAGGCCCGCTTGGCTCGACCGGTTGAATCGGTTCGACCGTGAACCAGCCTCTGAGTCAGGCCATGATGGCATAAAACCCGGAGGGGGGGGGGGGGGGATTTCACCTAAAATAGCTCGCGATTAGACTGAGGGCACTGTAGCAACCCGCCGATCCAACTAATTTTTAGGAAAAACCGGGTCAACCATTACCCCCCCTCTTTTATATACTAAAATCCGAGTTTTTCACCAATTTTCCCCAAATTCTTCATACCGTCGAATCCTAACCCATTTTTTCACTCTCCTATTTTCAATCTCTTCATTTCACCGTCAATCTCTTCATTTCATCTCTCTTAACTTTTTCATTTCCAATTTTCCACTTCAGCAACAGCCGACATCCTTGTTTCATCTTCGGCAACAGCTCCAATCACATCAAGTACCAATCAGTTTTTCATCTTTTTTCGATTGCTTTCATCTTCATTTCATGTCTCTGAACTTTTTCATTTCATATCTTCATTTGTGTATCAAGTAACACTTCATTGCATATCGTCACCTCTAGTCAACGCCAGGTACACTTTTTTAGCTCTCTCTTTCACATATGGTGGATGCTATAACTGCAATTGGTCTTGGGAATAAACTCCCAACTTATCATAGTTTGCGTGTAAATTTATTGAAGGATGCTAAGAAAGAAGTGCAATTACTTATTTATGGTTACGATAAAACTTGAGAGGATGTTGGATGTACATTAATGACTGATGGTTGGACATATAATTCACATAGGTCATTGATTAATTTTCTAGTGTACTACCCTAAAGGAGTTTGTTTTGTGAAGTTAGTAGATGCTTCAGATGTTGTAAAGGATCTCGCGACATTGTTAAGCTTATTTGAGGAAATAGCTTTATGGTTTAGACCAAGCAATATTGTCCATTTTGTCACTGACAATGGAGCAAACTATAAAAGTTGCTGGAAGAATGTTGTGTGAAAATTATAGCAATATTACTTGGTTGCCCTGTGCAACACATTGCATTAATTTGATGTTAAAAGACATAGCTGAGATGAATCACATAGTTAACCTTCTGACACATACATATGAGGTTACAAAGTTTGTGTATAATCATACATTTTTTATAGCTTTGCTGAGGAAAGTACAAGTTATATACCTTTACCTCATATGTTTTTAATTTACGTTGTCAAGTCATAATATAATATACATTTTTTTTTTTTTTTTTATAATTTACTAACATCTACTGTCTATCACTTGAGTAGGGTTGGATAGAAATTATACGCCCAAACGCAACCCTGTTTTGCTATAACTTTCATTGCATTGAGGAGCCTACATAAGCACAAACATGACTTGCAAGCTATCATGACAGATAGAGTTTTTGTAGAGTCTCGATATGCAAAAACTAATAAAGACAAAACATTTATTTCTATAATTCTAGATAACCAATTCTAGGATGATATGGGTACAATTTCAAAAGTTGTTAGTCCATTGATGTGTATGCTTCGGATTGTAAATTCAAATGAGAGACCTTCAGTAGGATATATGTATGATGGCATGCACAGAACAAGGATGGGGATCAAGAAGCTGTTTAAGAATAAAAAAAGTTTGTACTAACCTTATACAAGAATTATTAAGATATGTTGGGATAAGATGTTACGCCGTGATACTCATGTAGTAGCGTATTATTTGAATTATGCTTTTAAATATGACGAAACAACTTTTTCCTTCAAACCAGAGGTCATGTGTTGTTTCCTTGACACTATTGAGAGTAAAGCAAGTGCGTTCAAATTGAACAAGACAATTTTACTGGAAGAGGTTAGATTATATCGAGACCGTCAAGGAAGCGTTACTCATGAGCTTGTTCTTCAAACTTGCAAAACTACATGTGCTGGTATGTAATAGTTATTAAATTTTTAAGTTTCATTTTTGAGTAATGAAATTGTGTTTATTTCTTATGTTTTATTCTCAATTAGATAAATGGTGGAGGACATTTGTGTTTAGTGCTCCAAATTTGCAAAAGTTTGCAATTAAAATTCTAAGCCAAACTTCAACCTTTTCAGGATGTAAACGAAATTGGAGTGTTTTTTAACGCATACATACTAAAAAGAGGAACAGATTGGAGCATCAACAGTTGAATGATCTTCTTTTCATTCATTATAACTTACGTTTGCAAAATAGGTATAAAAGCCTTCATCATTTTTCTTATTAGCACTTATTTTATTTTCCTTGATGTCTTTATTGGTCATAATTTTAACATTTAATTATGGTCTTTCATGAGTTGTTACAAGAAAATTACTTTTGATCCTGTTGATTATGAAAGTATCGATAAAACTAAATCTTGGATAGTTGACGAAGAAGAGGAGATTGGTTAACTTAATTATGATGAATTGGAACAATCATTATATGAAGAAGGATCTATTCTTGTAAATGGTGGTGATCACTCTTCTTATTATGACTCAATAGATGCTTCAGAAGGTTGTTTCCAATTTTTTAAGCAATTTGAATTTGATAGCTAGTTTAAATTCAATTAGTTTAAAAAGGGAAGCTTTAAATTATGGTTTTAATATTTTATGGAATTTTTTGTAGATGATATTGATGTTGATAACGATGATGATCATATATCAAATGGTATGTGAAGTTCAATCGAGGACGGATTGAAGACCATTTTTTGCTAAAATGTTTATTAATTATTATGTGTTTTCTTTATGAATTTTGTTATTTTGATTTGTAATAAGTTATAACAAGGTTTGATGATGCTTTGTTAAGGAATTTTTTTAGGAATTTGGAATTTGGAATTATGGATCTTGGAATTTTTTTGCTTATGTCATCAACATGATGACATCACCGGTTGAACTAGCTCAACGAGTCAACCTGAAACCTGATCAGTTTGCCAAGTTCTAAAACCCGATCAGTTTTCCAAGTTTCAACCTAGGTTGGTTATTAAAACATTGCTCAAAATGTTTTTTTTTCTTTTTCCCCCTTTATTGACGAAGAGGCTGGTATCTATTTTTATATTTTACCGAAACATCCTTGTAATAGTTTTGCACATTTTATTTAATTAAACCATCATTGAAAGATCCTATAACTGGAACTGAACTGTCGGCATACTGGAAATGATGTAAATGCCAGGCTATTTTATAGCTTTTAAATGCAATGTCAAATTATAAGCCTCTTCAAATTTTAATTTCGTTGGGTATGCCGTACCTGCCTTGAATCATGTTTGTCTGTAACTTATGAATTTACTGCATGTTGATTTTCTGCTGATTAGTTATAGTATATTTAACCAAATTCTTTTTATGTTAGTTCCTATATTGCTTCAATTTGACTTTGGAAACAAGCTGTCGGTTGAAATTTTGTCTAAAGTTTTTGTTAAGCTAACTTCATTTTTTGGGTTATTATTGATGCTGCTTAAAGCGAAGTAGCAAAGTCAAAATTCTTCAGAAGGAGATAGTCATTTAACTGCTGAGATCACTGAACTAAAGAACCAGTTAGAGAAAAAAAAAAAAGCACTGCAACATTCGGAAAGCCTGAATCAAACACTGATATTTGAGTTTAAAGACTCCATGAGTAACCAACAGTTGCAAGATGCTCGCAAAGAATCGATCAGTAGTATTTCCAGTAGCATTTCTTTATGGCAAAACTTCAAAAGCCTTCTAACATAACAAACTATGAAGCTCTTTTGCAAGATGCATCTCAACAAAAGCGAAAGCAGGGAGCAAGAGAACTGCGTGGACGGACAGTAGTATTTCCAGTTGATTCTGATATCGCATCACATCTTGAGCTACACAATAGTAAGTTTATTAATATGCATTCATTTCTCTGGCTGTACTAATGCCAATCAGTTTCTAATTTTGATTAAATTGCAAATTTTAGGATGAACTCAACATTCAAGCCTTATCTTAATGTTAAACATTTTTCATCGTCCCCGTCTATTACTTCCTGCATTAGTCAATAACTCAATCAGAACAGGGCAAAAAAAATTATCATGTTTCTAAACAAAATCACGGTTTGAAGATGAACCATTCTGGAAGTCGGTTTTCTAATGAATATTATAATAATAATAATCATTTGACTCAATTAAGGCAATCGATTTCTGGATCCCAGTAGAAGTTATGTAATAATATTCAACTTAAGGTGAAGTTATATCTGTTGCTCCGGGGCACAAAATGAAGTTTAGAGAGACATGAATGGTGCATAGGTAAATATAAGAGTGGGTTCAACAAAACATATTCATCCACATGTCTAGCATATAAAACAGCCCCAGTGATCATCTACTTCTTGATATTTTCAAACAAAACTGAAGTTTCAGAAGGGTATGGATTAATAGGTTTATATACATACCTGCAGGTTGCCTTGGATGCTGACTCTCTTGAAAGGAGACCTGTGAGGATCCCCCATACGTTCTTCCCATGATGAACATAATTGAGCAGATTTTGCCTGCCAGTCTCCATCAGCGAACTTCAGTGAGCATGCATGTTGAAAAGATTTTATATCAATTTCACCCATTCTTTTAATCGCAAGTTTTGTGCGGCCATCAGACACATCTTGCAGAACCTGCATTGTCAAAATAAGGGAAGCATTCTCTGTAGCACCTTTGTATTTGCTTGCATAATTTGAAGATGGATTTCAGTAATGCAAAAGGTGAATGATAATTTAATTTCAATTTTAAACTATATGCAAAATATAATTTCTAAAATACACTAATTGATGCCTTCCCTGAGATGCATCTCGCAAAAGAGCTTCATAGTCTGTTATGTCAAAAGGTTTTTGAAGTTCTGCCATAAAGAAATACTACTGAAAATAGTACTGATCGGTTCTTTGTGAGTATCTTGCAGCTCTTGGTTACTCATGGAGTCTTTAAGTATCAGTCTTTGATTCAGGCTTTCCGAATGTTGCAGTGCGCCTTATTTTTTTTTTTTTCCTCTAACTGGTTCTTTAGTTCAGTGATCTCAGCAGTTAAATGACCATCTCCTTCTGAAGAATTTTGACTTTGCAACTTCACTTTAAGCTGCATCAATAATAACCCAAAAAATGAAGTTAGCTTAACAAAAACTTGTAAACAAAATTTAAACAGACAGCTTGTTTCCAAAGTCAAATTGAAGCAATATAGGAATTAACATAAGGAAAAGAATTTGGTTAAATATACTATAACTAATCAGCAGAAAATCAACATGCAGTAAATTCATAAGTTACATACAAACATGATTCAAGGCACATACCCAACAAAATTAAAATTTGAAGAGGCTTATAATTTGACAATGCATGTAAAATCTATAACGTAGCCTAGCATTTACATCAATTCCAGAATGCGAATGGTTCACATCCAGCTAGAGGATCTTTCAATAATGGTTTAATTAAATAAAATGTGCAAAACTATTACAAGGATGTTCCGGTAAAATATAAAAATAGATACCAACCTCTTCAATTTGATCCATTAAGCTTCTTTTCTCTGAATCTTTCTGGGCCAGCAATTCTTCAAATCCTTTGGTTCACTGCTCAAACTCTTTATGAAGATATCAAAATGTCAAAAAAAGAAAAAAAAGAAAAAAACATTTTGAGTGAAACATTGAAAACTTCATTTTACAAAATAGATTTAAATGCTAGACAACTTTTAGCTTCAATAATCAAAATCAAATCATTCATTCATTATTCATAAAAAATACTCGTACCTTGGCAGGTCTCCTTGTACTTCCGCTCCATCTTAAGCAACCGTATGTCCCTTGAAGAAACATGATCTTCAATATTTTCTTTATCCAATTGACTTCTCAAAATATTTTCAATTTCTATGTTCCCTTCACTTTGATGGTCTTCAAAATTCTCCACAACAAGCTCATTTCTAGAACCATTTTCTTCCTCATACCTTACAACTACTGAGGTCCCATTATTCGGAGCAAAATCAAGCATGTATGATTTCCCATCTTCTTTTAAATTATCTACGAACATCATATACTGAGAATCTAAAACCTCACCAACATCATCCTTATCAGCATCATTTACATTATTTGCACACCCAACATCACTATCTACATCAACATACTGTACCATATCATTTAGAAACACCTCATAATCTGAATCAACTACTACTCCTTCTGCAGCAGACCCATTATTCTTGTTGTTTTTGATATCACTGTTAACAGTTTGTTTTGAAGCCTTATGGCTACGGTAAGTAAACTTTTCAGAGGCAATGTGCCTTCTCTTGCATCGCCTTGCCAACCTCAAATCATAACTAAGAACACACTCTTCCTCATTGACTTTCCCACTGGAATCACTCGCCGTCTCAATCTTCGAAATCTTCATGATACCTCATAAACAAATCTCTTAGGTCAAATCTTATCCAAAAATCCTCCTTTAGTCAATGCAAACCCAGGTAACTAAAAACAGAAGCTTCTATCTCCAATAAACAATTACAACAAAACAAAAAAATTATACTTCAATAAAACTAACTAATAAGCAATCAAATATACAATATTATGGTCCGTGTGGTTGCTGAATACAAGCAGGAAATATAAAATCATAAACTCAATATCATTCACAGTAATAAAATAAATAGCCTGAATCAAGGTATTATTTTTGCTAGTCTTAAAAGACAAAACAATGCGTAGTATCTACAAAGCCACTAATTATATATTACTTCTTTTTTCTTTGTTGTATCAAAAATGAAGTGTTTCATGATGATGATAGGGTAAAAAGAGTCGTTACCTCAACCTTAGCGGATAAAAAAAAACCCTATAAATCCCAAATGCAGACAATCAAATCGAGCATGTGCAACTTGAGCGTTAAAGAACAATGATACTACCAATCAATGTTTTAATAACTGAACCGGTCAATGACTTGGTCAGGTGACCGGTTCAACCAATCTAACCATCGGGTCGGACCGATGACATCATCATGCTGACGTCAGCATAAGAAAAAAAATCCAGATTTCTTCAAAATTCATAAACATTATTTCATTCCATTTCTTATGGCTCTTTTTTATGGTTGATTGATTTTATATAAGCAGCTGCTGCTTGCAAGTGGCAACTCAAACTAATACACAAGGGAAAAAGGAAATGACACCCAACCATAACATTATTTCATTCCATTTCTTTAAGTGCAGTTGGATCTGTACATAGAGGTTGAAGGACAATCAGCATTACATAAGTAGAAACAAAGAGTGATAAAAAAAATTACAAAGTTACTTGCTAAACACTTAAAAGAATTCTCCTGGGACATGATATTTGGAGAGCTTCAACTTCAATAAAAAAATAATGAGCAGAAATCAAAATATCCTCCACATAACATCCCAACTACTCTAAATCACAACCTCATATTCAAGCAATACAAATCTAACCAAGTTATGATTGTTCACACTTTATCATAATCACTTCCATAAATTACCTCAGCCACCTCCTAAGGTCACTAGTAGAAGAAGGAGAAATTTCACTGCCAAGGTTCTCAGTATAACATGAAGAATAATTAGACTGTTGCTCCAACCCAAATTGTGATCCACTTACACTTTTAAAATCTAAGACGTCGCATGTAGCTGAGTTGCTTTTTTTACCACCTTTTTGCACAATTGTGCGAGCACTCGTGATTACAAGAATCTGGAAGCTGATTGAACCTTCCATTATTCTACTTTCTGCATAAAGCTTACCAAGCCTCTTCCCAAATACTTACTTTTAATTTAAACCATTATATAATTAACATGCATATGATTAATATATTCTTTTATTTTATGTTCTAGCACTAGTTAATGGCAAGTTGATTTGTAAGCTTCAGTACTTTCAAATCACACGTGCATATTCAATTATTGAAGAGAAGTTCATCAGAGTTTCTTTTTTTCTCTTATCTTTTAAACAACTTAAACAATTCTACCAGTATAATAATCATACTTTCGCTTGTAGTACTCTAGTAGATGACCTTTTTGTTTGTAGTTTTCTCTTTAAAACAAAAAGAGATCTCTAGAATCTGGGGTTTGCATCAAAAGAACCAAGTTGATGAAATGAAACAAAAGTATGTCTTGATCAACCTGTATTTCTTCAAAAAGAGATCTCTATAATCTGGTCAGATAATAGGGAAATATATATAAAATTTGGACTGTATTTCATCCTAGCCTCATCAGCCGGTCATCAAACAAATGATTACACACAAAGAAGCACATACACAGAGACAGGGAGCAATAGATCAGAACTGTAGTCTGAGAAAACAGCAGAATTGAGATACCATTTTTCTCATATTTCCAGCGTTTGCACAGTAATCATCAAGAATGAAAACTCAGCATACCTCTAGTTTTCTAAGGGACCCCGTGATTTCTTCAGATAATAAGACTTGAGTAGGAGCTGGCTTAAATCTGTAATAAAATTGCTCATTAATATATCGATTGTGATAAAAACTACCAAGAAATAGATATGGTTAAGTGAGACTAAAAAAATTGACTTGAAATAAAGCTTTAGTCCTTTCAGAAATATTAAAGGCTTTTAGCCTTTCTTGTAAGGTAAATCTAAATAAAATTATCAAACACATTAGTAACTGCAATTCCTCTGCTCTTCTTATAAATGTCTCCAAAACATTGAGAATGATGAGAAAACAAAAGCAGCAGGATTTTACAACATCATTCTTCTCAAAATGTTATTCCTTCTACAACTCTGAAAATAGCATTACATTAAGACTCACACAACTCAAACTTCCCAGATTTTCGATTTATGAACATTTCCAGGACTTCAACAATTAGTAGCACATCTATCTAAAGGCTTGAACAATAACCCAACAGAAGGCGTCTAATTTAGATGCAGCCAGCAAGAAGAAGATGAACGCATGCTGTAAAAAGTACTATCACAAACTTAGGGTTCGATTATCGATGAAGTGAAGATGAAATGAGACGGTTAACTCGTCGGACGGCGACTGCAGTGCTGCCGGTGGCGGTGGTCGATCGAAGAAAGCGACAGTGGAAGAGAGAAAATGTAGGTTAGGGTTCGATACTTCGATTGTCGAATGAAAATTGAAAATGGTAAAAGGCAGTTGTATTTAGATTTTTGAAGTCGGGAATAAGGGTTAACCCGGTTTTGGCAGAAGGCCGGCGGTTTGATACAGCAACACCGGTCCAACCACAGGTCAAAACAATAAAGCTACGGACACCGGAGTTTTTGCATCAAAAATGTGTACCGGCCTAAGTGTCTTGACTCACACCAGCAATCTAGACACGTGATTAAACAATAAATATTTTTCTAGTGAATGACCGTTCATCAAATATGGACGGTCGTTCACTTACATGGACTCCCGTCTATATTATATGAACGGGATCTATTTACTATGGACGTGTATCCCTAATTAAAAGACGCTCGTCCATGAATAAAAAATTCTTATAAAAATTAGGGACGACCCTTTCATAGGTTATGGACGGCTATCCCTAAATATAAGACGAACGTTCATATTTTAATAGACGTCCATCCATTAACAATTTTAAAAAAAAATTAAAAAATATTTAGGTACCACCGTTCATTCATTATGGATGGTCGTCCCTTCATTTTGGACGAACATCCGTAAGGCATAATGTAAATATAAAAATAAAATAAAAAATGGACGTCCGAATTCTATGGACTGACGTCCAGTTAATATGGATGGCCGTCCAAATTATATGGACGGCTGTCCAAAAAGCACATACTCAAAGCTCTTATTTCCAGTTGAACTTGCTTCTTCTTGGCTTTTGATAATTTAACCTTCTTCTGCAACAAGATTGTTGGACGGCTCTTTACTTCAACTTCTTCCCATGCTCTGTTTACAGCTGCTTATCCTCTTCTGTAGTAACTACAAAAGGACCTAACAAAGACTAAGACAGGGAACTAGTAAAGAGAAGGAAATCTTAATTGTAGAAGCTCAGAAAAAAGAGGAGAGTTCAATAATCAAGATAAGAAAACCTGCCATTCTGTGGTGAAGACCAAAGTCACAGCAGACGAAAGAGGTAGGTTCAACACTCGTCGTTTCGTTTAGCTTCTGGCTTGCTCTAGTACTTTCATTTGAGAAGACCTGCGCTTCACAACAGCTGTGACTTACGCTGGCTCAGATTAGTCGCACTCCCTACGCTCGCCTTGCCTGGGCCACCTGCCGCAAACCTCAGAGCTCTTTTTTTTTTTTTTTTCTTTCTGCTCGCTCTTCGAAATGCGATCACTACTAGTAGTTGTAGTCTCATGGAACGACTGATAGAACAGTATTGTTTTTCAATCAAAGAAGAATTGAAAGGAATCCATCCACTAAAAACTACTCCTCCTCCAAGAGTTTTTGGGTACAACAGAACGCTAGCCAACGTCAAGGCACCTGCAAAATTGTTCATATTATTGCACCAAAAATAGCAAAACCAGTAATGTCTTATTTATGTGTGTCTCTGTGAACGTCTGGAAGAAAGAGAGAGAGAGAGAGAGACCTCTTTAACTAAATCCACATACAAACACATTTTTTAGATATGTTCCAGCAACTACTTCCTTGTCTATCATTGCATGCACATTCTGAACCGCTTGGAGCACACTAGGTTCATCTTTCGGTGAATTCTGAGGGTCATAAACAAAAAACTCAAATGAATATCTGAACAAATTATCAGTATCCAATAGCGGATCAGACACTGGTCACGTTAAAGCTCTCTCCTCTAAGAAATTTCTAAGCATTTGCATGGGATAATATTCTCACTAAAGCATTTGCATGGGATAATATTCTCACTAAAGTTCTTTTTCCTGTTATAAATATATACAAATTTAGTTAAGTAGGAGCTTACCACAATACGTATAGTAATAGACACGGCATAAATCTGGAGGAAGAAAATGAAATTTAGTTTTTAACTCTGACTACTCAACATGATTCAGGAGTTAACTAGAATGGTAATTATGGTAAGGTTACCGTGTAGTTTTTCATTCTTTGGAAGATTGCACGACTTGTTAAGACGGCACTTATGATTACACATTTACACTCAACCCAGGTTCTGTTAGAACTATATCAGAAGCACTACGGGTGCATCTGTGGAATCTGCCACAGCGATTCCTATGTCAGCTTTCTTTAAGGCAGGAGCATCATTTACTCCATCACCAGTCATTCCACAGAAGTGCTTTCTAGCTTGTAATCTTTGACAATTTCGTATATATGTTCTGCAGATGAAAAATGTGGCATCAAAAATTTGATGGAAAATTGATATGAACTGTTGTACAACTTTACCAGTAAACTCACCAGGAAAGACACCAACAAAACCATCAGCTTTTTCAATGAGTTCATCAATCGGAAGCGCTGTATGTCCCTCTTCCTTATTCTCACTAAACCATCAGCTTGAGTTTTTTGTTTATGACCCTCAGAATTCACCGAAAGATGAACTTGGTGTGCTCAAAGCGGTTCAGAATGTGCATGCAATGATAGACAAGGAAGTAGCTACTGGAACAGATCCAAAAAATGTGTTTGTATGTGGATTTAGTCAAAGAGGTCTCTCTCTCTCTGTTTCTTCCAGACGTTCACAGAGACACACATAAATAAGACATTACTGGTTTTGCTACTTTTGGTGCAATAATATGAACAATTTTGCAGGTGCCTTGATGTTGGCTAGTGTTCTGTTGTACCCAAAAACTCTTGGAGGAGGAGTAGGTTTTAGTGGATGGATTCCTTTCAATTCTTCTTTGATTGAAAAACAATACTGTTCTGTCAGCCGTTCCATGAGACCACAACTACTAGTAGTGATCGCATTTCGAAGAGCGAGCATAAAGAAAAAAAAAAAGAGCTCTGAGGTATGCGGCAGGTGGCCCAGGCAAGGCGAGCGTAGGGAGTGCGACTGATCTGAGCCAGCGTAAGTCACAGCTGTTGGTGGCGAAGCGCAGGTCTTCTCAAATGAAAGTACTAGAGCAAGCCAGAAGCTAAACGAAACGACGAGTGTTGAACCTACCTCTTTCGTCTGCTGTGACTTTGGTCTTCACCACAGAATGGCAGGTTTTCTTATCTTGATTATTGAACTCTCCTCTTTTTTCTAAGCTTTTACAATTAAGATTTCCTTCTCTTTACCAGTTCCCTGTCTTAGTCTTTGTTAGGTCCTTTTGTAGTTACTACAGAAGAGGATAAGCAGCTGTAAACAGAGCATGGGAAGAAGTTGAAGTAAAGAGCCGTCCAACAATCTTGTTGCAGAAGAAGGTTAAATTATCAAAAGCGAAGAAGAAGCAAGTTCAACTGGAAATAAGAGCTCTGAGTATGTGCTTTTTGGACAGCCGTCCATATAATTTGGACGGCCGTCCATATTAACTGGACGCCAGTCCATAGAATTTGGACAGGCATCCATTGTTTTTTTTTTTTTTTTTTTTTTGATTTTTATATTTACATTATGGACATGCGTCCATTCCTTACGGACGTCTGTCCAAAATGAAGGGACGGCCATCTATAATGGATGAACGGCCGTCCCTAAATGTTTTTTAATCTTTTTTAAAAATTGTTGATGGACGAGCGTCCATTAAAATATGAACGCTCATCCTATATTTAGGGACAGCCGTCCATAACCTATGAACGACTGCCTTTAATTTTTATAAGAATTTTTTATTTATGGACGGGTGTCTTTTAAATAGGAACGTCTGTCCGTAGTAAATGGACCCCCGTCCATGTAATATGGATAGAAGTCCATGTAAGTGAACGGCCATCCATATTTGATGAACGGCTGTTTAATAGAAAAATATTTATTGTTTAATCACGCGTTTGGATTGCTAGTGTGAGTCAAGGGGACACGTAGGCCGTTACACATTTTTGGTGCAAAAACCCCGGTGTCCATAGCTTTATTGTAGGTCAAAATGGGTGAAAATGTTTTCGATTTTTCACCTTAACTGGCCCAACTCATTCTCGGTCTGACTAGTCTGAGTTAGGCCGAGTTTTAAATCATTGTTACCAATTACTCAAGCGTCGACTGCCACATCATGATGTAAGAAAGTGATATAGGGCAGTGACGTAAACATAATATTATTGATATATTACATAACAATAAACTACACTTACAACTTTTTTATACAACCTTGAGGTGGAAGCTTGCGATTGATCAGTTTGTATTTAGGCAAATGAGACCCATTGCAAGCTGACCAATTGCGAGTTATCACATCAGGGGTTGTATAAAAAAGTTGTATGAAAAGTTGTAAAGAGTAATGTCAGATTCACAAGTCAATCTCACAACCTATGATGTTGCAGCTTGTCATTGGTCAGCTCGCTAAATGGGTCATGTCTGCTTGTATAGGTCTTGCCTACCCATTTGCGAGCTAACCAATGACAAGATACCATGTCGGTTTTAATAACCAAATTTTCATACTTTGCATAGTATTTTAATAACCAACTCGAGGTAAAACGCGACAAGTGGTTGAGTCTAGGGTTGATCGATTTAACTAATTTGATCGGCATGTCAAACCGGTGTCCAAAGATTTGAAATTCAACAAAAACACCCTTAAATGTTCTATAAGTCCTTACATATTTGAAATCTTGTAAAAAAAACCCTAAACACCACTGTCGGCATTGACCACTGTTTTGAAACCTGAACCGGACTGATAAATCTGACTGGTTTGATCAGGAACCGACACCAACTCTGATCCGATCAACAATAAAACTCGATTATAGCCAAAAACTCACTTTCAAACTAGTAATAGACCGACGAAATAGTACTAAACGCTAGTTCGACAAACCCAATGGCTAAACCAGGTCACTTAACAGTTAATAAAAAATAAAAAATAAACCATTTCCAATATTAGATCTTCATTCTTCAATCGGGTTGTACTTCATCTTCCTTAACTCTAATTTCTTGAGTCATTATGTTCCGATATTAATTGTGGTTATTGGCAGGGGCGGACCTAGCCCCCTTGGTGGGTAGGCCACATTTAAAAAAAAAATTGTTTATATAGGCCCATAAAAAAATTTCTATTAATATATAACTACCTTCAGATTTAAACAAAAAATATATATATTATACATATATCCAGACTCATAAAAAACTTGCTATATATATATATATATTTCAGGCTTACATCATATTAAAAATTTAAAACTCTCTCCACTATTTTCTACGTCCATCTGTTTTTTATGATTTTATCCCTCAAATTTTTTACTCTCTCTTTCACTTTCTCTATGTTATTCGTTCTTAAAACTTTTAAAGACTGAAATTGTTGAAGCTTTCACTAATCAATGTGTCACAATTAGCTTTGTTTTCAGTTTTATCAGTTTTAGGTATGTGTATTGCTCATTTCATTTTAGTTTATTTTAGGGTTGAATCATGTTTATTTTTTGAAGGTTTTTTATTCTAATTTGATGGAAAAAGACATGGATCTTGTGAGTTTGTTTTGTGTTTTGTGTTTAAGAATGTTCTTGTTTTGCCAAATTAAACCTTAACTATATTTTACTGAATATTATTTTTCACCATTTACCCATCACTTTCCTACATTTCAAATGTCACCGTTTGACTGCTCAAAATTATTAAAAAAGTTTGAGTTATTATCTATGTTTATACTAAGAAAATTTTTCCTTTTTTTATTAATTCATATTAAAAGTTAAGGCAACGTTGACTTAATTTAAGTTTCGATTGACTTTAGCTTAGGCTAGGCCTGATCAAAGTCATGAAAATTTATATTATAATTTTTGAAAGTAAAAAAAAAAAAATAATAATAAAAAAAAAAAAGAGGAGAAATAAGAAATTTGTGTAGAACATTTTTGGTAGATTGTGATTGTTGTAAACTCTTTTAATTATATTGGATTTAAGTGGATCGTTAGATTCCCGTGGTCTTTTTATCTCTTTAATTGAACAAGTTTTTCCACGTAAAAATTTTCTTGTATTTCTTCGTGAATTGGATGTTATTCATAAATTTATTCAAGTAGTGAAGTATTATGTTATTACATTATTTTTTTTTAGATTATTAATATTGTATTATTTCCTTTGTTTAAGGTTTAGTAATTTCTTTAAAGTTTTCACTAGTTGTTTACAATGACGAAACCGCGGGCAAAAATCCTGGGTCGACCTCCGGTTACGGGTTAATGCTCGCCAATTGTGTCCGGTTGTTGCCATAAGTTTTCCTCCGCCAGCGCGTAAACCCACTTTCAATTCATAATCAAAAGCCTATTTATTAAAGTTATGATTTATCAGTCAAATTCAAAAATCTAAAACCACCTTTTCTTTAAATCTAGGCATTCAATAAGAGATTAAAGAACAAAATTTAAGGTTGTACCTCGAAGGTTTGTTGCTCCAACCACTCCTTGGTTGTTCTCCTCTTATCCAACCATTTTTGTTAATCTAGACATTAAAAAAAGCTATAAATAATCAAAATCCACCAAAAAACAAATAGAATCACACAAGTGTAAAACAAACATCAAAAACCACAATTAAACTAACATTTTTGTGAATGCAAAATAATGGAAATAAAAAAAGACTCAATCGAGAATAAAAGATCAACAAACAAACAAAACCCAGATCATAAAATTAAAAACCCATCATTGACCCACGAATCCAGAATCCCTCAGACTCAGAGTTTCTTTATGGATTTTGATCAATCGAATTCAAATTCCAAATAAAAGTGTCCCTTCCAGTCCATGCGTTGAAAAAAGAGGAGATTACTCAAAAGAACTCCATTAGACACAGCAATGGAGAGTGATATGTCTCTGTTCCTTTGAGTTCTGGTTCTTTAGGTTTTTGGTTTATTAGACAAAAAAGAAAAAAAAAATACCAAGGGAGTAGCGAAATTGAGACGGAAAGAGCGGATATATGTTATTGAATTTTTTATTTTAGGGTTGTGATGTCATGATGACATCATTAGTCTAACCCGCCGATCCAATCGATCTGATCACTCGACCCAAGACCTGGTCGCCTGACCGGATTGGGTTTTAGAACATTGGCGTCGACAATCCAGAGCAAATAAGGACTATTTCCAACAACGACAACACTTCTTATCACCATGAAAACACCCTCCTCAGTCTCTTAACCAAAACTCATCTCACCCCTCTCCTATTCAACTCGCCAATCATCTACAACAGCCCACTATTGTCGCCGATTTATTTTTGCGATTTTTGGTTTGATTCATTCACAAAAAATCACCTCCATCACCACTTTTGCATTCACCGACCATTCCTCTTCAAAACCCTCAACATCCTAGCCTTCAATTGTTCACCGATTGCCATCTTAATTTTTAGGGTTTTTGATGAATAGTAAAATTGATAACCCAACCCGGTAAAGGCCTCAAGTCTTGGTTGAACCGATTCAATTGGTCGGACCTCGTCTTAAAACATTGACTTTACATACACCATCATCATGAATTTAACAATATGTTGCCTCACGGAGATCTATCATAATCAAAAGAGCACTCAACACAAATATCTCAAAATTACTCACAATTCGGCTGTACTAATTCTCAACAATCCTATCAACTTATTTTTTAAAAATAAAATCACTCAAAATGAACCATAACTTAATTCATAAATCTCGTACCAAAAAAAAAAGAAAAAATCAGTAAACACATCCCCCCACACTAGCTGCATCCAAACTCAATCTAAGTGATTCACATACCTCGCAAGTCTCATGCTTATCATCACTCAAATTAATTCTTTTGAAGAAAGAAAAAGAGTCCAAGTAAAACAATAATAAAATATAAGCTCATTATAAATATAACTTACTCATGTCATATATTCAAAGTTGATAATTCAATTGGAACATCTACTATATTACAATTGGGGTCATCTGCAGTAACTTCTACTACATCACCACAAAACTCACAAGTAACACTAGGAGGGCACAAATGCAAGCAGTGATCGATTCTATTTTCCAGCCAAGCTAGTCTCCTCTCAAAACTCAAGACTCCGAAATGCATAATTCGAATGTCAACCTGGGCAACCCTTGCACAAGCACGAAGCAATATGTAATAATCTGCATGTGCAGCATATGTAAAGGCACCTTCATCCTTCTTCCTCACATAGTAAAGGTAATCGAGTCTCTTGAGTTTGACCCTTGGTGGAATATAACAAAACCTTTTCTCTTCCATATCTAATTTCAACCGTCTTATGGCTCTTTCTTTTAGAGTCTCTACTGAAGCTTTATCATTGGATTCTGAATTTGGATCTCCTTTTGAACTTTGCAAAGAGTTATCATCTGTTAAATCCTTCTGTGAATTATCATCTCCAAGAAAGGTTCCATAATGAGCAGCTGGTGTACCGTTACATCCTTTGTCTCTGGTTTTTTTGTTTTCCTTAAAGTGAATGTTGAGAGATCTATCATCCCTTGGTCTCTTTTGGTTAATAACAATATCAAATCTCATTCCAATGTCTTCTGCTGGCTGAGATTCCTGAAATCAACAAAAAATTTTACAAGTTTGCACACACATTTGATGGTTTTAGTTCACAACTTGAGAACTCCAAATGTTATACTAGCTGAAATCATTCACATTCACATTCCCATCCCCTTCCCAAGACGCCAAGACATGAGCCCACAGGATATTCCAAACATGATAGGCATGGGATAATGAAAGAACAAAAACCATATTACTTCTAGATTCAATTGAAACATCAATATAACATGGAATGCAACATATCCTCCAATAGAAGAAAAGGGGTCAATGTATGAAAGGCAGCACAAAGTAATAAAAAGATAACAATGTTTGATGCAGCTCAAACTTTTGCAAAGCCAGGGCAGCCATAATGTATGGGCTTCTGCTATGATTTCAATGATCCCAGCCATAATTTTTCAATTCAAGTACTTAGATATTTGTTAATTTTATGTGAAAATTCAAATTTAAAAAATATAGGAAACTTATCTTAAATGATACTCCAAGTTTCTAACTAAGTACGCTGTCAAGAAGCAAATCACCAATAATGTGTTTGAACATTATTCTTTCATCATCAGTTCTAACATATTTGAATAAACAGTTTCCAAGAGTTTTTTCAGATACACTTGTTCTTAAGTTCTGGAGAAATTTCAAAATCAGATTATGTTTCAGAGAGCTGCATACACTTGAAAAGGAAAAGTCGTGAGGCAAAAGAAGCCTATTTCTAACTTGGGAAAAAAATGTGCAGTAGATTAAACATTTAGCCAAATGTACACCAGAAAGATTTTCTCATCTTACCCATGCAGATGTGACTAACCCTGTGATTAAAATACTCCAAGATGACACAATATTTAATTCATCAACATACATCTGTGAAGTCATAGTTGATAACAGCATTAAGCTATAACTAACCATTTCATCCTGATAGAAATTCCAAAATTGCTCAATCATCCTTGTTTCCTCATGATCATCATGCGGTGGTTCTAGTCCAGCAAAGACAACATCCTTGCAATATTGCAGATATGTTGGCAAGTCCTTGGAATATTCTGCTCATACAAGGAAAAATAGTTACCAACTCTTCCTGCTTGTTCTTACAATTATCAAATAAAAGAAAGAAAAATTTAGAGCATCATATATTAAATTTTAGAAGGCAACAACCAGAATTTCATATGTTCAATTAAAACTATTTCAAAAGCAATACCATAGGTGTCAATGATATCATTATATCTAGCTTCCAGATTATAGAGAAGCTCTTCGGCATCCAATCCAGGTTCCTTAAACTGTGATGGACTCTTACTAGATTGTGCACCGGAATCATCAAAGGTGTTGGATGAAGAAACTGAATTGTCTTCAACATCTCTCCTTTGGAAATGACACTCAGGATCCATTTTTTCTCCAGGGATAGATGCTGAACAGGAAACATTACGACTGGACAGGCTCCTTTCCCATGCCCCAAAACCATTTATATTATAGAGAATTCTGATAGCTACAATCAGTATTGACATTACACAAACACGAGTAGGAAGCCTCAACTCATTTGTTGATAACCACAAATCTGGAGGCATTGACCACTCCTGTATTCTTAACGCATGAGGAAGAATCTTCTCTACAGGAAGAGATAACTTTTTGAGATAGCGGGAGGCAATGGCATAGAAGTTTATTGGAGGTAAATGTAAACCTATAGACTCAGCAATGGATGCAGCCAATGATTCCAACTTTTGTACAGCAACAGCTTTAGAAGGTCTAAACATATGACTAGTACTTATAGAACAGGCAACTGAAGGCTGCCCATATCGTTTTTCGATTTCAACAAAAGCAGCAAAATATGGAAGTTTTCCTTCAATTGACCACTTCACTATGTCTGTTGGCAAAACTGTTTCCCTTGCAACATGACAAGCTAAAAAAGATACAGCTAAAGAGCAAGATAATGGTATCTTCCGTCTCAACAACCTATACCATATCATTACTGCTCTCTGACCATGTAAGTTGTGAGGCTCTTGTCTATATTTCGCACGAAGTTTAAAATCTTCAGATTCTCCTGAATCAGTGGCAAAACATGTGTAATGATCAAGAAAATTAAAATAGAAGAAAAGCCATCATCTTAGTATCTAAACATATACAGTAAATCATATGTAAGACAGTGAACTATGAAGTCTTAAAAGAAGTTAACATATATAATGAATCACATGTAAGACTGTGAACTATAAAATCTCAAAATATATCAATCTTGTCATCTTTGACAACATGCTAAGAGCAAATGAAGAATGAGAGAGGGCTAAAGGGGATGGAAAGGAAAAAGAAATACAAGGACCAAGTACTCATCATTCTTCTCATTCATTTGATTGATAACGTCAAGAGAGATGAAAAGAAATGAACTTCTTTGTACATCATTGATTAGAGAGAGGTGATAAAAATCATTATATGTGTGTGAGTGTGTGTGTGTGATTTTACGAAAATAAAGAATAATTTACAAAATAAATTTCACCAATCCCGACCTTATGTATTAAATATTTTCAAAAATGTTATACGTTTCCCTGTTATTTTATCTTGTACATTTTTCAAATTCCTATTTTTTCCCTATCAAACAAATCATAGATCAAAGAAATCTTTAGTAGCTTTCCTGATCAACCTTCATAAGTCATGATGAAGACAACAAAATGGAGAAAAACAACAACAACAACAACAAAGAAGGCATTAGAACTCGCGGAATATAAATAAGCTATGGAAAAGTGTTATACCTTGTTTTTGACTCTCAGATTCATTAATTGCAATATCAGCCCAGTCTTCATGGAGAACTCCCGTTGATGCAAGAAACCTCAACCATATTGACCCAGCCACCCCGCAAATCAAAGGAGAAAGAGTAAACTTTTCCACCAAAGCCTCACATTGTAACTGAATCATCAACTGCACCCCCATGACATACTTCATCCTCACTTCAAAATGATAATCCTCATACCCTGCCTGACTCTCTCCTAGATCTGAACCCAAACCGAAATCCTCAGGCTCCGTGGGACCAACTCCATCCTCATAATACACCTCTTCTCTCTTAACTTTATAAATATTCTGAGGACCAGGAGTATTGTTATCGTCATTTGTGGTGGATTTTGGTTCTTCAAACAGCGGGGACCAGAAAGTTGACTGTTGTGAGAGGGGGACAAATTGAGTCACTGGCCGAGATTTGGCACCATGGCGGGTGTGGCTAGTCTGGTAAAGGGCAGTACCCGTGCCAGCACCGGTAGCCATGAAGTCCTCATCTGCAACACCAGTTTCTATGATGTCCTCAGCCTGGGCCCCACAATTCTGGCAGTAATAGTAGCCATCCAATCCATCCGCAAAGCCTACATTGCCACAAGTGTTGCATGTCAACTGAAGGGTCTCTCTACCCTCCATTGATTGATTGATGATCTAACAGTGATGCTAGTGCATGTGATGGGCTTTTTAACAGTCAGGTATTTTGATGAGGTTGCCAGTTGCTACTTTACATGAAAAAAATATTCTTAATTTCCTAAAAGATATAGAAAGGAAACCATCAGTAAGAAGAAATATATGAGCAAGGACAGTTGCAACTAAAATTGAATTATTTACATGGCATACAGCATATATGTGACATGATAACACGTCAAAATTCTAAGCAAAACTTCCTATTCTCAGGAAAGCGCAGTACACTTAAACAAGAAAACCAATGCATTACTAGCTGCAGAAGCCATTAGATATATAGAGTCAGAGGAACATCTCATAATTCAACAAAATAAAACAAGTTTCATAACTAATTGTGGGCCACAAGGGTAACTAGGCTTCTTATTGTTTCAGTGACAATATATGAATTAAGAATTAAATACAAACACAGTTTTGGACTGAACAGAACTGGAGTGATACTACAAAAGCTAAACAATATATTAAATTACAGATAGGAAAAACGGAGAAAAAGAATTGGAAGAGAGACTTTAAAGTAATGAGAAAGAATAAACGAGGAAATCTAATTTTAAAGCATTAACGCTTCTCATTCAGTGAAGCTTTGATAACAACATACAAATACAATAAATTACAATATGTAAATGATAAAGGATTACCGGCTGTAGTGAAGTGAAACAACTAAAGAGCAAGCGTTTGAAAAATACTCAAGTTTTGGCGGCGACCCGCGAGTCTATTCGGTTGCTTCTCTAAATTTAATTTTCTTTAGAGGGTATTGGTTTTTTCTAGTATCCTGGCCCCTGGGAGTAACTAAGTTTTCCAGGCCGGTTCAGGTTTAATCCGCATGTAAAACCTGGACTAACAAAGGCACCCAAGGGTTTTACCTTAACTCCGTTACGTCAGAATAAATCTTTAATATATAAAATAAAAATTAGAAAAAAGATTCCCATCCCACCCCACCAAAAATCACAACCAGAGCAGAGACATTACCAACGTATCCAGAAAAAGAAAACAGCACTGCACACAAAGTAACCCAGCACACCCATGCCTTCGATTAATCCACATAAGTAAGGAAAAACAAGAAACAAAAATAATAAAAAACTCACTCTTAACATCCTAACTCCAAACATGAAAATTTTCTCAAGTTTTCTGTCGATTTGTCAATTTTTGAGCAGCCAAGGAGCATAAGATCTCTAATGGATCTCCATCCAGAGATTATTCTTGGAAAACCCCGCAAGTTTCTGTAGTCCTTTAGATTTAATGGGTGAGAGTGTGGATGGGTGGTCGATTGATGGTTGTACCATGGCTATAGGTGGCGAAATACGATGCTGAATCGAGGAGGGTGGGTTGTGTTGGTGGCTGCAACGTGGCTGCGGGTGGCGGAATGGAAACGGTGGTGTCGGTTGAGGGGTGGGGTTCCCGGCGAATGAGAGGGAAGATTCGATGGAGTAAAAGGATGGGCATAATGAAGAAAGTTACTATTTTATCCCTCTGATTCTAACGCCAATATAACAGAGTTAGTGCAAAAAGATATTAGTGATGCGGTTTTAAAACTGGTGGGGGCAACCTTTTAAATATTGGCAGAACAGTATCTGAAATTCTGAATAATAGAAACTGAATAACAAATTTCCCCCTGAGGTATCGAAATTGACAAATTCCCCCAGGCTTTAGTGTGCCGTTAAGGAATCAACATTCATTTTACAAGATCTGGGGCCCTATGAACTTTACTCCCGAATATCGTTTTAAAAAAGAAAAAAATCAGTTTTTTTAATAAGTAAAGAGAATAAAAAAAAAAAAAAATCACGTTAGGAGAAGGAAAAAAATCAAGTTCAAGAGTAAAAATAAGAAAAAATCAATTTTCAAAAAAATGTTTTTCAAACCTAGACAATATGAGGGGTGGGCACAAGTTAGGACCCTGTCTCCAGGCGCGGCCCGTGAACCCAAGGGGATTTCCTGAGCCCAGCCCAGTCCTAGGACAGGATGTCAGGAAATCCCCAGGCTTGGCCCGCGGGGATGTGGTTACTGCCATCCCCGCCCTGAGTTTGGGGATTTTGTAGGGAAAATCCTACCAACAACATCCTCTGAAGGAACTTCAATTTCATTCAAGGTCGTAACAATCTTCTTCACTTCATCAGTTGTCCCATTCTGATACCAAATTATTAAACAAAGTCATTACTTCACTTTTGCAAAGACAATTTCATACTACTACTAGAATCCGAAACACTAAATCACTGATTGGATCTCATGAAATCTATTAATAAAAAATTGAATGAGTAAAGTAAACAAAGAGACTTGCGCACTTCCAGTTGCCGCCGACAAAGAACTTTCGCGCCATGTTTGTTTGATAAGCGATGAAATCGAGAGAAAATGGCGATTAAAAAACAGTGTGATCGAGCCTAGATTTTAGCGGCCTTTTATAGAGGTTTTGTCATGGAAAAAATGTTACTGACACCGACGCTTTGCATCGAATTTTTACACCGAACGACATATCTACTGAATCAGACGAGTCACGTATCACGTTAACAAATATTCTACGAATGAACGGTCGTCCATAAATATTAGACGACCATTCATTTGAAATGGATTTTCGTCCATATTATATGGACGAGAGTCCATATAATTTTAGATGAAATATTCATTTTTAAAATATAAAATTTTTAGATGAAATAAAAGACAAAAAAAATTTGATTTTAAGTAAAAGTATGGACGCCAATCCACTCATTTGGATGCATGTCCATGAGTGGATTGGCGTCCATTCTCAAATTTTTTTTTTTTAATTTTCAATTTTTTTTTTTAATTTATAAACAAAATGCAAAGCAAGAGAGAAATGAATGTAAAATTTTTGGATTGAGACAGAAATTGAATGTAAAATTTTTTAAAATAAACAATGGATAGACGTCCATCTAAAAGGGACGTGTGTCCATTGAATGTGAAATTTTTTTAAAATTTTTTGGACAGGCGACCATAGTAAATAGACACCCGTCCATATAAGATGGACGGGCGTCCATTATTTTTCTTTTAAAATTTTTTTAGTAAATGAACACCTGTCCATATAATATGAACGAGAGTCCATTAAATATGGACATGCATCCATAAATGTTAGACGACCATTCATTCACGAAAGACTCCAGCGTGATCGCGTCTGACTGGTTGTCATGTCCTTCAGTATAAAAATTTGGTATAAAATTTCAGTATCCGTACCATTACTCTTTGTCATATTGATGCATCAAGTTATTTTTTATTTATAAATGAACTAATAAAATCTTGATTTATTAAGAATTGGATGAGCTTTTTTTTATGGATTAGATCTGGTCGAGTTGGGTTCCCGATGGGACAGGGAAAATGCCCATCCCTAACGAACACAAAATCATTGCCATCATCCAAATTAACTCGCAAAGACGCCACCAAAGATTAAAACTTCAATCTTCTTAAAGAATTACATTATTTGATACAAATTATATTCAGCCATGTAATTTTATATGATCGTATCATACCAACATACTCGACCCATTCACCATCTCTAACAATAAATATATAATAAAGTGTTATACTAAACTTACCTTTTTTTTTTTTTTTTTCGGTTGTAAATCCTACTTTGGTGGTCCCTCTTTGTTTGGAATGATGCACACATTTGGGAAGACAGATAGTACAAGAATCTCGTAACAAACGCAAGGTATTACCACATTGGAGAATATATGATTTCATATATTCGTGGATTTTTTAGATTAATTGTAGATGTTTACACCTTGAACTGCTATTATGTCCACGCAAATATGCTAGTTCGGATTATTTAGATTTACATTTACATTAGAGAATAAATAGGTTATTATTATTCAGAGAAAAAAATATGAATTTTATTTTAATTTAATTTTAGTTTTAATTTCTTCTTAATTCTAAAATTGAAATTTTAAATTGAATTTTGTATGTTAACAGTAACTGATTTATTAAGTACTGTACAGTTTAGTTAGTTTGTTTAAACTGTAAAGTTAGTTACTGTTATTGTTAAGAGAGTTAGTTATAAGTTTGGTTAGTTATTAACTAGAGTTAGTTAACTGCAATTTGTGAGTTAGTTTGCAAGTATAAAAGTAGTGTACAAATTGTATTTGTTGACCGATGAAACACACAAATGTTTCCCCAATTTTCTCTCCTCAACATGGTATCAAAGTAGGAGATTTCTTGCAAATTTTCTAGAAATTGGTTCGATTGAACCTCCATATTCTTCTGGTTCAGCTCGAAAAAGGCTCAAGACTCGTTAATTTGTTCAGCTTGAGCTGTAGACTTTGGAAGCTGAGCTCAGTCAGCTATGGCAGAAGAATTAGTTCTACCTTCGATTGACACAAATTCGCTCCTCTACGTTCATCCATCTAATACACCAAGGTTAGTATTAGTGTCAAAACAACTCACAGGAACAGAAAATTACGGTATTTGGAGCAGAGCTAGGACTGTTTCCTTATGTGCCAAAAACAAGCTAGGTTTTGTTACTGGAACTTACACAAAATCTTTAGTACATGCTCGTTTAGCTCCACAGTGGGAAAGGTGCAACTCCTTGGTTCTTATCGGGATTTTTAATTCAGTCTCTAGAGAAATATTCAACGAGATTGTGTATTCAACCAATGCTTCACAAGTCTGGCAGGATCTGAAAGAGTAATATCACAAAGTGAATGGCACTAGGGCTTTTGGTATCCATAGAGAAATTGTGAATCTTACACAGGGAACCAACACTGTGGCAATTTATTTTAACAAGCTTAAGTCGTTATGGGACGGATTGGATTCTTTGGTAAGCCTTCCTGCTCCAGATAGTGCTTCTACAAAGACATATCTTGAACACCTTAATCAACAAAAGTTAGTAGAATTTTTGATGGGTTTGAATGAGTCTTACTCTATGGTCAAAAGCCAAATTCTGTTGATGAATCCCCTGCCGAGTGTGAAACAAGCATATTCTGTAGTGAATCAAGATGAGAGCCAAAGGATTCTAGCTGGATTGAATAATAATGCAGATGTAACTACAACACTTTATGCTTAGAATGGTAAAAATCAGAATCTAGGGCAGAGATATAAGAGAAAGAAACCTTATATTGAATGTGATTATTGTCACCTACCTAGTCACAAACGTGAAAATTGTTACAAACTGAATGGTTATCCAGCAGATTACCAGTTTACAAAAGGAAAGGGGAACTCAAAATCCAAATACTCTGCAAATCTTGTGCAATCACAGGATACAGTTGCATCAATGACAGATGCAAAGTCTCCTAATATTCCAGTTGGACCTGTTTTCACATCGGAGCTATACAATCAAATTCTGGAGCTGCTAGGAAAAGAGAATGTAACCTCCACAAATCATTCAGTTGCAAACCTTGCAGGTATCTTTAATAGTACACATGATAATACATTGCCTGATTTAAATAAAAATGCTTGGATCATAGATACAAGGGCCACTGATCACATGACCTATGACCTTAGTATTCTGTAGTCTTCTATTGCCATAAAACCTTCTTCAAAATACATTGTAGGGTTACTTGATGGTACTAAGACTCATATTGCACATGTAGGTTATGCAATTTTGGACAATGGCATGCATCTCTCAAAAGTTTTGCATATACCAACTTTTAGACACAATTTGCTTTTAGTCTCCAAATTTACAGTTTCTAATAACTGTACTATCAATTTTTACCTTGATTTTTGTCTAATCCAGGACCTTTACAGTGGCAAATTCAAGGGGATTAGTAAACATAAACAAGGCCTATATTTCCTTTATCCAATTTCAAAAAAATCAATAATGTCAGTAGATGCTTCACATACAGTTGTTTGCAATATTTCAAACGGTCTTTGTTCAAATAATAATGTACCATGTCATTTTTAGTTGAATAAAGACTCTGAATTTCCTGGTACTTTTCTTGCTACAAATGTTTCTAATAGTGCTGATTTGTGGCACCAAAGGTTACGACATGTTCCTTATACAATATTACAGCATATGCATAAAGATTTTGATGTTTCTAATCCTCCTCACTGCACTATTTGTCCATTAGCTAAGCAAACCAAGGTTCCCTTCCATCATAGTAATTCAATTTCTACTTGCATCTTTGATTTGTTACATGTAGATGTTTGGGGTCCATATAGGATTCCAACACATGGAAATGCTAGGTATTTCCTTACTTTGGTTGATGATTATTCAAGAGTAACTTGGTTATTTCTCATGCAATACAAATCTGAAGTTTTCATTACCATTAAACATTTTATTACAATGATAGAAACTCAATACCATTGTACTCCAAAATGCTTAGAAGTGACAGTGGCCTTGAATTTTTTATTAAAGAATGTCATGATCTGTTTCTTAGTAAAGGTATTGTCCATCAAAGCTCATGTGCTTATTCCCCTCAACAAAATGAAGTTGTTGAGAGGAAACATAGACACATCATTACAGTAGCTAGGGCTTTGAAATTCCAGTCCAATATACCAAATCATTTGTGGGGATATTGTGCGCAAACAGTAGTTTACCTTATAAATAGGTTTCCTTCATTAGTTCTCAAAGGTATATCACCTTTTGAAAGATTTTTTGGTCACCCTCCTTCATTGGATGACATCAAGGTTTTTGGTTGTTTAGCTTATGCTACCATTCTCACCCCTAAGGACAAATTGTCACCTAGATCTACCCCTTGTGTCTTTTTGGGTTATTCTTTGACTCAAAAAGGATACTTTCTTTATGATCTTTCTTCTCATAAAGTTTTTGTCACTAGAGATGTTCTTTTTCATGAGGCCATTTTTCCTTTTACTTGGACTACATCTCGACAATCACCTTTTCCCTTTGATCCCGAATTTTTGGATATAAAGTTGCCTTCTACAATTATAGCCCTTACTGTCCCTTCATCAACTGATTTATTGCCTGTTGTCCGGAATGCAGAACCTACAGGACCTCCCTCTCCATCTATTAATTCATCTCCACCTCAACCTATCATTCCTCTTAGGAAATCCAGTAAAACCAAAAGGCCCCCTATCTGGACATCAGATTTTGTTTGTCCATCTATTTCTCTTTCCACTTCAACTTCAGCCAATTGAATCCCATATCCTATCTCTCATTTTGTATCTTATAGTCATATTTCACCAAGCTACCAAGCCTTCTTATCCCATCTCAATCTAGTAGAACCCTCTTCTTTCAATAAAGCTTCTCAAGACCCTAATTGGGTAACTGCCATGCAAAAAGAGATATAAGCTTTGGAATTAAATAAAACATGGTCCTTAGTTCCTTTACCGGTAAGACTCCAATTGGTTGTAAGTGGGTCTATAAACTCAAATATAATGTTGATGGTTCTTTGGAAAGATATAAGGCAAGATTGGTGGCAAAAGGGTACACTCAAAAGGCAGGTGTGGATTATGCAGAAACATTTTCTCTTGTTGTTAAAATGGTTACCATTAGGTCCATTTTATCACTTACTTTCATGTATAATTGGCCACTTTACCAAATGGATGTGGATAATGCATTTTTGCTAGGGGATTTACAAGAAAAGATTTATATGACTTTGACAACCAGGCTGCTAATCACATTACATCAAATCTCATCTTCCATGAGAGGGCTAAACATCGACATTGATTGCCACATTGTGAGAGAACAACTCAAACTGGGAGTCATTACCACTACCTATATTCCATCATCTAAACAGCCTGCAAACTTGCTCACTAAAGCTCTTGTTAGTCCACTGCATTCAAGATTGTTAAGCAACTTGGGTGTGCTTGACCTCTACCACCCTCCAACTTAAGGGGAGCGGGCGGGGGTGTAATAGCCGACATTGAGGTACATGATTTAAATTATGTTGTATAGCCCTTAGTTAAATTTTGTTAGAATTATTTTAAGAGAATTTGAAGAAAAATGCCTTAAATTTGCATTAAGGGTAAAATAGTCTTTTCACTCAAAATTAGTTGAAATTGTGGNTGAGACCATTTTTCCTTTTACTTGGCCTATATCTCCATAATCACCTTTTCCCTTTGATCTTGAATTTTTGGATATTGAGTTGCCTTCTACAACTACAGCCCCTACTGTCCCTTTATCAACCGATTTATTACATGTTGTCTAACATGCAGAATCTACAGGACCTCCCTCTCCATCTATTACTTCCTCTCCACCTCAACCTATCATTCCTCTTAGGCAATCCAGTCGAATTAAAAGGCCCCATATCTGGACATCAGATTTTGTTTGTCCATCTATTTCTCCTTCCACTTCAACTTCAGCAATTGCCTCCCATATCCTATCTTTAATTTTGTATCTTATAGTCATATTTCACCAAGCTACCAAGCCTTTTATCCCATCTCAATCTAGTAGAACCCTCTTCTTTCAATAACGCTTTTCAAGATCCTAATTGGGTAGCTGCCATGCAAAAGGAGATACAAGCCTTGGAATTAAATAAAACCTGGTCCTTAGTCCCTTTACCCCAAGGTAAGACTCCAATTAGTTGTAAGTGGGTCTATAAACTCAAATATAATGCTAATGGTTCCTTGAAAAGATATAAGGCAAGATTGGTGGCAAAGGGGTACACTTAAACAGCAGGTGTAGATTATGTAGAAACATTTTCTCCTATTGTTAAAATGGTTACCATTAGGTCTATTTTTTCACCCGCTTCCATGCATAATTGGCCACTTTACCAAATGGATATGGATAATGCATTTTTGCAAGGGGATTTACAAGAAGAGATTTATATGACTTTGCCTCAAGGTTTTGCAAAGTGGGGGTGGGGGTGGGGGTGGGGTGGGGCATCTTGGGGAGCAGCCTATAGTATGCAAGTTACACAAGTCTCTATATGGACTTAAACAAGCCTCTAGAGCCTAGAATTACAAGCTTACTCAAGCCTTACTTGTTGGAGGATTTACTCAATCTAAAGCTGATTATTCTTTGTTCATTAAGAGGATGCATTCTCATATTGTGCTAGTTTTAGTCTATGTAGATGACATTGTTCTTACAGGGGACAATATTGACATGACCAACTCCACCAAATAACTATTGCATTCTCATTTTAAACTCAAGGATTTGCGTGTTCTAAAATATTTCTTGGGTTTAGAGGTAGCCAGGTCATTCAAGGGTATTCACTTATGTCAAAGAAAGTATGCTTTGGAACTTATATCTGAATCAGGTCTGTCTGCCTCCAAGCCTTCTGTAGTTCCTATGGATTCTACTTTGAAACTTACATCAGTTGTTTGTGATGACCTTTTCCCTATTGGTTATGATCCCTCTCTTCCTAATCCGAGTGTTTATTAAAGGCTAGTGGGTAAGTTGTTGTACTTATGCATGACTAGACCAAACTTAAGTTTTTCTGTCAATCTCTTAAGTCAGTTTATGCATAGTCCCAAACATTCACATATGACTATAGCACTTAAAGTGGTGAAATATCTTAAGTCTGCTCCTGGTTTAGGTCTATTTTTTCCAACTGACAATCTTATGAATTTATCTGCCTTTTGTGACTCTGATTGGGGCTCATGTCTCATGACAAGAAAGTCAGTTACAGGGTACTGCATTTTTCTTGGCAAGTCTTTAATTTCATGGAAATCTAAAAGGCAAGCCATTATCTCTAAATCTTCATCAGAGGCAGAGTATAGAGCTATGCCTCCACTGTATGTGAGCTGCTTTGGTTAATTCAACTTTTTCAGGAACTTGGAATTACTAATTTGCTTCCTATACCTCTTCACTGTGACAACCAGACTGCTAATCACATTGTATCAAATCCCATCTTCCATGAGAGGACTAAACACATCGACATTGATTGCCACATTGTGAGAGAACAACTTAAACTGGGAGTCATTACCACTACCTATATTCCGTCATCTGATTAGCCTACAGACTTGCTCACTAAAGCTCTTGTTAGTCCACTGCATTCCAGATTGTTAAGCAAGTTGGGTGTGCTTGACCTTTACCACCCTCCAACTTGAGGGGGGGTGTTAACAGTAGCTGATTTATTAAGTACTATACAATTTAGTTAGTTTGTTTAAAATGTAAAGTTAGTTTCTGTTATTGTTAAGAGAGTTAGTTACAAGTTGGTTAGTTATTAACTAGAGTTAGTTAACTGCAGTTAGTAGCTTACTGAGTTAGTTTGCAAGTATAACAGCAATGTACAAATTGTATTTGATAACCCGATGAAATACACAATACTTTCCCCAAATTTCTCTCTTCAACAAAGATAGTATCACCGATTAATCCCACAAAATGAAAATGAAGAAATGATTCCATACTATCCCAGAGTGGGGAGGGCCAGAACTAAGTGGGAGCTAACCCGTGCTATACCCAAGTCAAATTTTTTTTAAAAATTCTTAGGGTAGGCTGAGTTTTGACATATATATTAGGTTTTAATTCACATTGAGCTTTTAATTATTATTATTATTTTTTTTTTAAGATTAGTATATTTTAAAAATATGGGCTACTAAAAGGATTTTGAACCGGACTAGTGTGATCATGTTTAAAGAGGTATAAGCCCGTTTGTTTGCTAATACAATTTAATAATACATAATCAATTTATTTCATGTATTTCTTTATCCATCATACATCAACATTTATTCGAAAAAAATTCTTCTATTTTATTATTCCATATCAAAGAATTCATACTTCTTAAGGGGTAATAGAAATTTATATTCCAAACCTTATTTGAAAAAAGATTCTTTTATTTCATCAATCCCTATTTAAAAAAATAAAATAAAAAAATTCTTTCTTTCTATTGTTCCTTAAGATAAAAGGATTTTTAATCACTTATCCCTCCTAGAAAATTAGTACATCTCTCGTAGCGCACAACTTAAATGAATTCTACTTCATTTGCATTACATTTCTCTTTACTTTTATTATTTTATAATTAGAATCTAAGAGTGATATATAAATGGATTTAATGTGTTTGGGAATACATCTCTGCTGCAAATGTTCCATTTAAAGTCAACATTCAGCTCATTAACGGATATCTATGATGATAAAGGAAATTTGATTAATTGGTTAGCTAATTAAGAGCCTTGTTTAATTAATTAGTCCGGAAGAATTTCTTTAAACTGTTGGAATTTTCAAGCAGGTTACTAAATTTATATTTGTTATAATCTGATTTGTGTATGATTGGTTCAAGTTTTTTGCTTATTAATTTTAAAAAAAGTCAATAAATGAATATATCCAAAAGAAAGAAAAGATGGAAATGATAGCATCATTTTATGTTATGTATGCAGCAATAGTTTTATAGTTACTATACCAACCGCAAAGACAAATAACGAAGTAAATGATATCATCATTTTACAGTACAATTTTTTGAACTGTCGTATATTCTATACAAAAATTTCACACTTCGAAAAATATTTTACATATTTGTTTTCCAAATTTCATGAGACCGAAAGGTCAAGGTAGTCAGTCAGCCTTTGGCTCCACCTTTGGCTAATAAAATATTAAATTAGTTATATATAATTTAATCTTTAATATTTATGGCAAAATATAACATTATTACAGTCTGAATGTGAAAATCAGGTTTTACCAACTTTAGGGGTATTATATGAATATCCATCTGCTAAATCTAACCATGAAGGACAAACGGCTAATAAATGGAGAAGGGTTTATAGCTATTTATTGGATGAGAGATAGTTTATTTGTCTAGGTACAGGTTATGGAGCAATTTTTCTAGAGAATATATAGGGAGAACTATTATATAATATTTATTACAATGAAAATTAGGGATTATTTAACAACAAGAGTTGGTTAATTATCCTGCTCTAGAAAATTCTAGAAAAAGGCCCTCCTTCTAGGATGCAAAAAGGGGAATTTTCTTAAATAACATTTTTCAAAATTATACTATAGAATCCTTAAAACTATTATTTTATATGAAAATGCAATAACTAATATAATTCATTAAAAGTTATTAGATCAAATCTTTGACTTTTAACTGAAAGCAATTTATCCTTATTAATAGCATAGTACACGTTTATAATCTTCAATGTGGCTTTAATTTACGTTTATAATTAACTATGTATTGAAATAACTTATATTTTCTTTTCCAAGATTTCATGAGAGCGAAAGCCCAAAGGAGTCAGTCAGCCTTTGGCTCCACCCTGGGTCAATAAAATATTAAATTATACCATTTTGTTACATAATTTAATTTGCTACATCAACTATCACGAAGAAAGAAAATGAAGAAAACGATATCATCATATTTACATTATGTTTGTTTTGATAATCATATATTCCATAAAGATTTTAAGATTTTTGAAAATATTTTAATTTTTTTTTTTTCCAAATTTTCAAGAAAGCGAAAGCCCAAGGGGGTCAGCCTTTGGCTCCACCTTTGGTGAATAAAATACTAAATTATACTATGTTCTTACATAATTTAATTTGCTACATGAATTGTCCCAAGGGAAGAAAACGAAAAAAAAAATGGTACAATCATATGAATAAATAAATAGTAAAAAAATAAAAAGAAAAAAGTTAAAAATAATACTACACCAACAACTTTCTCTCACAACCCTGACGTGGAACTCGCAATTGGTCAACTCGCAATTAATTATTAGAACCCATTATGAACTGACCAATTATAAGCTGCCAAGTCAGGGTTGTGAGAGAAAGTTTGTGAGAGAGAGAGAGTTGTTGGTGTAGTATTATTCAAAAGTTAAAGCATGCTGGCAAAGTTGCTGACCAACTATTTTTGGCGGTGGTTGGCTGTTGTTGCCAACGAATTTGCTGGTAGCGATTATATTCATTGATACAATAGTTGGTTTGAGGTGGGGTGTCAAACGAGCCGAGCCACTAAGCTCGAGCTCGAGCCGCTCGAATAAGGGAGTCATGCCAAGTTTGCTTAGCCCAAGCTCGGCTCATCGAGCTCTCGAGCTTTAGCAAGCTCGAAAGGGTCAAAATGATAGTTTTATAAGTTTTAGGGAGTACATGTATATGAAGTTATATAAAAGGTTTTGAAAATGACAAAGACACCCATGACCCATTTTCCCAAATCAAATAAAAGTGGAATTGCAAAATTAGATTGTAAAAAAGCCCTAAACCTAAATCAAGTCAAATTGAACTCTCTGCTAACGCCGACGACGCTCAATGTCGCCACCCCTTCACTCTGAACATTCTCGTTGATGTCTCCAGACTTCATTGGATTTTGGGCTCTCTCTGTGATTTCGTCACTTCGTCTCACTCAACTCACGGTATGAATGTCTCGATTTTTTATTTTGCTTAGTGAATGTTGGTTTCATGTGCTTGCTTTTTTGTATATGGACTATGGTTTTGTTTTAATACAAAAGACTAAACAAATAGTTGCTGCAAAATAGTTATTTATTTTGCGATTTTCTTCTTTTGCTTAGTGAATGCTGGTTTCAGTGAATAATGTTCTTTTTGGTTGAACAATAATGTAGATCAACTATGTAGAATTGTTATAAGAGGTATTAAAGCATAAAAATGGCTTTGATTTTCGGGTGAGCTACCGTGTTCATTTCAGATTATGATCATCATCAAAACAAAGTGGGGTTTTGCTAAAGATTACAACTAAGTTGAAGTGCAGGGCGTATTTGATCAAAATATATATAACAAATTGGCTTGTCATATGTTTGTTTTAGAAAGATACCATATGGGCTCGTGATAATACTTTCTATGAAGGATTGACCCAGCCCATCAAACATACGAAAAACAAAATCATAATATTTAAATGAGTAAACGACATATTCCCACCCAAGGTTTGATGAAATCCTAAGTTAGTATCATTGGTTTCATTTATTTCAAATTTTCACCCTTAAAGTGACGGAAAAACGTTTAATGTAACGGTAAAGGGGTAAATTGGTTATTTTACATTGGCAGCGCACGTTAGCAGACCACCGCTTCTAACAGTCCTCCAGCGCACATTAGTAGCCGCCGTTCTCGACGTTTTTCGCTTTTTTTCGGCGACTCTTCCATCCAAAATCACCCTTGTCACCACCAACCCTCATCCCCTCTACAAAACCATACCATTCACAACCTCTCATCACTTGCCGATCTCCAGCTGCGGCAACGAAAAACGGTCGATGAACACGAACTCTCGGCCTGCGAATGACGATGAAACGGTTGGTGGGGATATAGGTGTTTTATTGATTTGGGGACGGTGGTTGCATTGGTGGTGTCTAATTGGATTTTCACCGCCGGAAGCAACCGGAATCCGATGAAGAACACCAAAACCCTAAGCCTAATAGTGCCGACGATTAGAGACGTGAATGAGTCGGGAACCAGAGGGGTTTTGGACGACGGACTACGAGGAAGGTGATGGAGGTGACCAGGGGGTTCGACGTCGTCGGAAACAGCCCAGATCGGGCTGTTTCCGACGAGGGTGTATAGTGACCGAAGGTGTTTTTGATATAACTTGAAAATAAAATGGTAAGTTTTGTAATTCTACTAATTTAGGGGTTAAAACATAATTTATTAATTTAGGGTTAAGGGTATTATGATAATTGCACCCTCTAAACCCTAAAAATTCATAACACTGTTACTTTAAGGGTGGGAATCTAGAATAAATGAAACCAATGATACTAACTTGAGATTTCGTCGAACCTTGGGTGGGAATATGTCGTTTACTCTATTTAAATTAAAAAATAAAAAACTTATAAAAGTAAAAGCCGAGGCCAATCCCCTCCTACGTACTATCAGTACAAAAATTTCCTAAAATATTTTAGTGCATGTTTGGTTTAATATTTTTATCCATATTCTGGATCCTATTCTCCAAATAGCGTTTGGTACAATATTCTAAAAATATTACCCTATTTTTTAATTACATTTTAACCCCATAAAGTTATTAATTTCACTAAATACCCCCTAAAAAAAAGTTTAAAAATTAACAAAAACACCCCCATCAACCCAACTTGTCAGATTCCCGCAACCACCGTCGGTGATAGCCGGAATCTGTACAACGGCCTAACTTCCGACCAGAAATGGCCGGAAGTTCACCGCTGTGGCCTTTTCCGGCCAGATCCACCACGGATCTGGCCNTATTCAACAGAAGAATTTTCTCCTTAACGGAAGAATGTGATGTAAATCCACTGCTAATGAAAAAATGGCTTGCAATAGATATTAAATAAACTCTTTTTATTGTGCTCAGGGGGGCTTTTGACATTGAACTTACAGAAAGGATCCCTGGCTTTATAGGAAACTCTTCAAATATGAAAAAATTGTGAGAACACTATCCTAATTTTTTTTTTCTTCTTTCTATTTTGTGCTAAATCACTCTTGAGTTACTTTAGGTTAAAGCTTTTTAAATGACAATTACATTTTTTTCTTGTCATATATTTAGTTTGCAGCATCTGTAAATTATTTATTCCCTTTCTCTTTTTTATTTTAACCTCCATTGCTTTTTTGTTGTTAGCAAGTTTCTTCTTCTATAATTGTAAATTCTAATACTTTTTCTTTAGAGATTTGAGTTTCAACAATATAAGTGGATAGATTCCTATCTCACTTTTCAATTTGAGTTCGCTGGCTTACCTGTAACCTACCTTTTATAATTTGTTGCGGCTTTTACTTCCCACAGTCCATAGTGTACTCATTATAGTGAAACATGAATTGCTGGTTTTGTACTCAGGTTTCTTGGAAATAATAAGTTAAATGGTACCCTCCTTGCAGAGAAAAGTCCAAAACTTCTCAATATGTAAGTACTTTTGATGTATTTGTGTCGACCTCTTTACAGCATTCCCAAAATAGAATGCTCAACTAATTGTACCAATTGGAAAGGTGTGGTTACAGGTCAAGTTTTTCCAGCAACCCTAGATTGTAGCCAAAGTCACTCTAGTGAAAGGCTGAACTTGCATTCTTAATCTAGATTTTCAAGTGCATAGCTTCTCCTGGATTAAAGTGAATTACTTAGACTTGTGGGGTTCCTAGGAAAAAGAAATTGGGAAGTTGAGGTTTTAGATGGTTTCAAAAGCTTATAAAATAAAAAAATAAATAAAAACAGTGTGATTTCAATAATGCTTGAATTTTATACTCCCAAGTAGCTGCATTGTGTAGTTAACATTCTCCTCACCTGATGTTGGCAGAGACGTATCTTACAATAATCTATCCGGCAGCCTGCCTTCTTGGATTCAACAACAAAATTTACAACTATATGTCCTTAATTTTTTTAAACATACAACTTATTTAACATCTTTACCATACATTTCACATTTTCTTAGACAAGTTTTTACTTTCCAGTATAGTATTTACACAATGATGCGAACAACATTCAGAATGTTATTGGTGCAATGTGCAGTAACTTAGTGGCCAACAACTTCAACCTAGAAAGTTCTAATTCTAGCAGGTAATTCTCTTGTTCTGTGTTTAACATAGAAAGTTCTAATTCTAGCAGGTAATTCTCTTGTTCTGTGTTTTGTTAAAATGCTTGAGACTCTATAACAATATAGGAAATTAATAATAATGGATAATTTATGGAAATGGGTTCTTTAGTTGCTAGTTCCCGCTATCTAACATGATTTCTATGTTCCTCCCCTTTACTTCAATGTTCTCTTGTATGGGATGAACTGTCTCCAATGCAATTTTCCTTGCAATCGAGTTCTGGAATCTGTAAGTGCAACTTCTCCATTTTGTGGTTTCGAGAGTTTAGGGCTAAAATTTAGGTAGAGTAACAGCTATTTTAACGCTCGTCCCAAATTTAAATATTTAGTTAAAAACACTTCTAATAGCCATTCATCAACCCATAACATACATAACAAACACGTGATCTCTGTCCACACCAATATTTATTAAATACATCAATTCATACAACTTCAAATTAAGGATTATATATTTTCATAATATATCTATGCTCATGGCTTTGAATATGGTCCAACTAAGTAGATATTATCCTCTGGATTTAATCATTTGGATGTAGGCTTGCATGCGTTTGCTTTCGGGCTTCACATAACCCTCAAACACCCAAAATGAATCTACTTAGTTAGAAGGACCTAAGCCTTATAAATTGAATCCTAAACTCATTTGCTAGCAATATGGGATTAACAAACTCTTTACCTTATGGACCTCACATCCTCGTGAGGTTGTCACACTGCATTGTTGAGTTGCGAACCAACTTTGATATCAATTGTCAATCCAAAATCCAGCCAATTAAATATTGTCTAGCTCTAGTAAATTCTTGTATGACTATATTTTAACCCAACCCAGTTTTTCTACTATTTCTCTTTTTCTTTCCTTCTCCTCATTCTCTTCTTTTACTTATTTTCTTCTCACCCGTAGCTAACTCTTTGTAAGAACGAGAGAAAGCTTATCTGATGAAATATGAATGCCATGATTGTGGCTAATCACTAAGATTATGTCAATCACTTAAAATCACTAAATTAATCAATCAATACCTTAATAGTGTAATTACATTATTGTGATTGGCAATCATTGAAAACCACTCAACCAATCAATTCCTTAATTGAGTGTAATTACATTATTTTGTTTCCTTATTGGATAGTTAAACTTTTGTATAAATAGGGAATGTATTTACAATTCAAAATAATTCAATACAATACAATTTAATTCGTCTAAAGATATCTCTTGGGCCTGCTCCGACTTTCTTCAAATTGCCTATTTTGCCCCATGAATTCTGACTTGGTATCAGAGCATATGTCTTAGACATACTCCGACTCTCTTCAATTGTCTCTGTTGCCCTCTTAATTCTAACATGGTATCAGAGTTTCTAGGTTGAATTAGCTTTCGCTTAGCTAGCCTCTCTTTTTTGCCCCTACAATTCAAATAGATACTCGGTTAGCACAATATTCAGCTAGCCTCTATTTCCTTCCCTACAATTCAAACGGATACTTACTTAGATTTTCCAATGGCAAACAACCAAAGCTCAAACTCTGACATAATCACCAACATTTGCATCTTTTACACAAGCTTGTGGTTTATGACCACAAGCTTGATGGGGATGAAATATGAATGTCATAATTGTGGCTAATTACTAAGATTACACCAATAACCCAAAATCGCTCAATCAATCAATTCCCTGATTGAGTGTAATTACATTATTTTTGTTTTTTTATTGCATAGCTAAACTTTTGTATAAATAGGTAATATATTCAAAATTCAAAATAATTTAATATAATACAATTGAATTCATCTAAAGATATCTCTCAGGCCTACTCCCGGCTTTCTTCAAATTGTCTCTCTTTTCCTCTCAATTTTGACATTATCTTCTTTTCTTTTCCTTTCTATTTGGCTAAGATATAAGACACCAAGATTTTTCATTTTTTTTTTTTTTGTTGGCAATTAAACCCCCCTATATATGACCTATCTTCATTATTTCGTTTACTCACCTCACTCAAAATTATACCACCAACAAGAGCTATATTTTTAATGTATATACCCTGTGTAATACCCTTTCCTCAATGCTGAAAAAGGAAAGAGTATATATAAAATATAAATCACAATATTAATAATAAAGTAAAACATACTAAGTGGCTCGATAGTATAATCAAACTTGTAGGCATAGCAGCATATTCTTACATGTTTTACCTTGATAAAAGGTTTACATTGGTATCAGATTCGATGCTTGGGGCAATTAATTGTTCTAGTCAACAATACCTCCACGATATTGTTATGAGAGTGGACATTGAGCTTTGGTCCTGCTGCATACCTATTTGACAGAACAAATGATGGGAGGTTAGAATGTTGGAAGTCACTTCTAGGGCGGAGCAATAATAATACAGGATAGATAATTATGGTCTAGAAGTCCAAATACACACAACAGTCTGACTTTTCCAAAGTGCGCGAAGCTCTTCTTCTCTTAAGATACTATGGTTTAGGCCTCAAATGGCAAGTGGCACTGCAACTCTCCAGTTTGCATCAGTTGAATCATCTAAACTATTCTGATTGTGAGGCGGGTTTTTGCATATATATCTTCTAGGTATGTATGTACTTATTTAATTATTTTTTAGCCATATTCTGCCACTTACCCCTACATCACAATAGGTTTATGTTAAGTCAAGCAGGATGAATGACCTTCATTAATTACTTTTCATATCTTATCCTTTCAATTGTTATTGTTTATTGTTTCATTCCAACAATTAATCAGTTTTGCTAGGGAAAAAATCTTGTTGAAAAGATTTGATCTAACAAGAGCGGGTGCTCCTTGAAGAGAGTTTCAAAGAGAATATCCGGCTCTGTATCTCAAACTACATGAAAGTCCACTGTTTTGGGCTTGGGAAAGGGACCTGCTTGTTCCTGTCTGCATAATTATGGACCCTCTATTTCGGCATCAGGGCTACCCAGGTTCAATAAATAGCAACTTCCTTTTGTCCTTTTTTTTTCACTTTTGGTTGATTTCCTGAGCATTATTAGATGTTGAGGATAATAGTGAGATTTATACAGATTTTCAACCAATCCCAACACTTTGAGAGACCATAGAACATACAAAAGCGGGGGATGGATTGTTGTGTTGTTGTGTGGGTATTTCTGTTGTCATTGCAATTTTCTTTGTTGTCCGTAAGAAGAAGAAGGCCAACGATGGTGTATAAGGTGAAATCAAAAGAATCTTGCTAAATCACTTGACAGTCTTATCTTCATACTTACTAGCTATAAATTGTCGTTAGTCGCAGTCTGGTTCTTCCTTGTAAGTTAGTGTGCATCTCGGCCATTGTAGACCTTAATCCTTTTAATAATGTTTGAATAAGAGGTGAGTTTACAATAACTTCTCACGAGTAGAACCTGTGTGTCGCTCATGTACATAGAAGCTATTGTACATATAAAGACAATGTAAATTTTCCTAATGCTTGTTCAATTCATAAAGCAGATTTCCATTAGTAAGTTCTTAAATGCATTATAAGATAAGAACTTGGATTCTAGGATAAGAACTTGGATTCTAGGTTAATTAAAAGGAACAAAACTATGCCATCATTTTGAAACATATGGAACTCTTGGTCATTTTAGTTTTTTACCAATTTGCTTACCCTTCAGGCACAAAATTGTGTTACAATGCCACGACTAGACAATTGCATTTGTTATTTCTAGTATTTCACATGTTTGACTTGACAACCCCGCTAAAGTATTTAATTAGACAAGCAAGTTCTTGATAGGAAGCTAAGTTTGTTGTTGAATTTTCAGAGCTTCTTGGCATGGATGTTAGACCATACACTTTCAGTTATGTGGAACTATAGACTGCTACAGGTAGCTTCAGTTATGAAAATAAGCTTGGAGAGGGAGGACATGGACCAGTTTATAAGGTGAGTCATTGTTCTAGCCAGTGCCAAATTAGTGGTGAGCACATTTGGTGCCTTAAGATTAACTGTTTTTTCTAGAACTAACTATAGGTTTCAGCATTACTTTTTGTCCTAGATTAACTTGAAAAGACAATCTTTTTGGCTTTATATCAATAAATAGTCGGGCCATCTTTGAGTTCTATTCTCTTTGGTTCATTAAATAAAGACTAGATGTGGTATTTGGTCAATAATAAGCATATAAAATTGATCAATTGTTAACCGATTTTCTCACCATTTCAAGTTGAACTTTTTACACAATAGGGAACACTCATAGATGGAAGAGTAATTGCTACGAAGCAATTATCTGTAGCATCCCACCAAGGGAAAAGCCGGTTTGTTGCAGAAATTGCTACTATATCTGCTGTGTAGCACCATAACCTAGTAAAACTTCATGGATGTTGTTGTGATGAGAGACCACAACGAATCCTTGTTTATGAATATCTGCAAAACAATAGTGTTGATAAAGCATTATTTGGTATGTGAATAGCATATATGTAGTACTAAGTTTTTCTTAGGAGTCCTAGCATTATTTGTCATGTCAATAATAGTTTAAACTTTTGTGACTTTTGCGAAGCAGGAAAAGAAAGTTTGGACTGTGACTGGTCAACATGCTATGATATTTGTTTAGGAGTAGCAAGAGGTCTAGCTTATCTTCATGAGGAATCAAGGCTTTGAGTTATACATAGAGACGTGAAAGCCATTAATGTTCTACTTGATGATAATCTCATCCCCAAAATATCAGATTTTGGTTTGACCAAACTTTATGATGATAAGAAGACTCACATAAGCACTCGTGTTGCAGGCACAATGTAAGACTTTTAATTAACACTTGAATTTATTAAAATATGATGTTTTTACATTCATTAGATTACTGAAATGATTTTTGCCTCTATTGGATTGATGTAATGGATACGTTGCATCTGAGTATGCCATGCTTGGATATCTTACGAAGAAGACTGATGTATTTGCCTTTGGCATTGTGACTTTATAGGTTGTTAGTGGGAGGCCAAACTTGAATTCAAGCTTGGAAGAAGAGAAGATGTATCTTCTTGATGATTGGGTATGAATGACATTGCAGTACCATTTTTTTCTCCTTATATTATTTTCTAGTACTTGATAAACAAATTTTAAAGAACCAAACATACACACACACACACACACACACACACGCACACACTTTTCACGTTTCTTTCTATTTCTCCTTCTGATCCAATCACTCATATATCATAAACTTCTATCTTTCCTGCTAAATTCCTAGGCTTGGCACCTATACAAGAACAATCGCTAACTCGAGCTAGTGGACTCAAAATTGTCAGAATTCAGTGAGGAAGAAGTAAAAGGCCTGATAGGAGTAGCACTTTTGTGTACACAGACCTTGCCCTCCTCGAGGCCATCAATATCCCGCATGATTGTTATGCTTTGTGGAGATATGGAAGTGAGTACAATAAATTCTAAGCCTGGATACTTGACTGAATGGGCATTTAATGATGTGACCACCTTTGTTAGTGATGATATAAATGAAGAATGTGAAGATGCTAGCTATTACATCTCCTCAACAAGGTTACGAACAACGCATAAAACTCCAGAAATAAGTGCTAGTGAAGCCCTGCTCCATTGATCGGTTTTTCCTTTAGATTCCAGTTTTATTTCATGTTAGGTCAACAAAATTGTTATTCATAATGTTAAAAAATTTAAGACCAATAAACTCAAGTAAAAAAGGTATGGAATAGATCTTGAACTACTTACCTGTTAAACAAGCACAGGACTGAATCTTCACTAGGAAATGGAAATAGATTTTGAATTAGTTCTTCTTCAACAAGCACAGGGGCTAAGGTTTCACCAGAAAAATAAAAATAAAGGACTTCTCCATGACATTATTGGAAAGGGTAGATAACAAATTTGAAAGGAAAGGTGCCCGACTGGTTTATAAGCTTTAGCTTAGTAATATGGGACGCAATTGGGTTGTTAATACATCGTGTTTCTGTAACCGACAGCCACAATAGTCCATTCATTCAACTAGAATTCGTCTTTTCAAACAAGTTAGGAGCACTAATCACACATCCACTTGAAATGTTTTGAAACTTTAAATTCAATTCGGATGATTTGGGGATAATACCAATCAAATTTCAATGAGATTGTTTAAAACTTCAAATTTCAAGGTGTTACATTTTCTACTCGCTAATAAAAATGTAATACATGAAATCTAATTTCCAACGTCAAGCTATATATATATATAAAGGAGATGGTTTTAGGGGATTTTTCTTGTAAATATATCCTTTTGTGCGGTCTTTTTGCGGAAATTAATTTGTATGTATTGTTGTTGTTAAAGGTGGTCTATGTATCGGGAACTGAAACGCAGCAACAATTAATGGAGAAATTAAAATGCAAATCAGTACTTACCTATTTTGCCCTCGTTTTTTTATTTTGTTTGTTTTGAGTAATAACTGCTATTTTTCTGAGTCACTGTTGTTTGGCTCCTGAGAAAATTTTGCTAGGTGGTTGAAAAGAAGGGTAGAAAAGGAATTGAGTAAATAATCAAGTAATTTCTTATTTCTTATTTGGATAAATCTTCACACATATATACCCATTTTTTTTTTTTATTACTAAGTCTTAATGTGGAAAATATTTTATTTTCTTCTTTTTTTTATTTTTAATTTTTTGGGTGAAAATCTTCAATAAAATAGGTATATATGTGTTTGTCCAATAAGTACAAAACACATTAGCAACTTAGGTTTGTTATTACCAGACATGTAAAACGGCAAATAATAATTCTATCCATATAAAAGGTACATTTCAGATCGATAGATTTTCGGAACCACTAATAAGTCAAATACAGTAAAACCTCTCCATAATGATATTCTATATAGGAATAAACTCTACATAGTCATAAAAAATTATATTCTCAATTTGAGATAAATATAAATAGGAATAAACTTCACATTGTAATAAGTTATAATTTTTCTTATTCCCGTCTTAAGGAAAATTGCCTCCATATAGTAATAATTATTTGTATATTACAAAAAAAAATATGCCTATGTTACATTAAAATGTAAGATGAAATAAAAATATTATCCAAAGATGTTTGGGAGAATGGTTTATGCTTTAGAGTTGTACCACATCTTTTACATTGTAGGTACATTACTCACTAGCATAGACATTTTCTTGTTAAAGCTAAAATATTTCTAACTTCTCAAGCATGTTTAAGCTTTTTGGCACGAAAATTTTTGTATTTCTGTACTATCATCCTCATGATTATGTCATTTTCTCTTCTTGTCTAATTGAGCAAAGATTTCTTCTTCAATTAAAGCATACAACTTCTTGCCTCTTGGGGTGATTGAGAAAGATATTAATATTCATTCGATTATGTGTGAATTGTCGAATCTGATCACTCAATTCTACAATAACTCTTTGATGTTAGAGTGATGCCCTAGAGCCAATCAATTTTGTGGAATTGACTTTTGTAATAATGTTCATTAATCAATAATAAAGGCATTTTTTCTATATCGCGTAAATCATTATTATTGCAATTGTATTTATTATGTCCTTAGAATGGTAGAACCGTGACGAGGGTATCAAGTGTTTCAAATCTTGATAGTGAGAACCCTATGAGCACATATGGTGCCATTCTAGAAACGTCCGTAGCCCCATAATTATTCTGAAGTAAGGGCAACGATTACGGTAGCTATCATAGTGTTGAACGACCCTGTCGAAAGGCAGTGACTGACTCACCTTGTCAGGTTGTTCGGTGACAACCTGGTGCAACACATGGGTGCTTGTTGTAGGTGGATATACCGCAGCAAGTTCACTGGACTGACCCACCGAGGATTCCATATGGATGGTAACCCCATGTCTATGGAACAAATCCTCTAACGAATGGTGGTGCATGTGATCCTTAGACTGAGATCACCGGAGTGCCTTGTGCACCGATTGGTACAGTTTGATACTACCTAACCAGTTCTATTCAGAGCTGTCAGTACGGTGGTGATTGGCTATATCAAGAGTGTACAAGACTATGGTGGATTGACAAAGGATTCCACATCCGGGTACGGAGAAGTTATCTCACGGCGCAATTCAGATATGGCAATGACACTAAAACTGTGGCCACAGTGGGATTGATTTGTTGCTCATCCAGATTAATCGGGTCATGGGTCCAGAAACTGAATATATAATATCGAGAGTAACCGAAGGTTGACACTATTTCTATGCCTTCGTCTCGTCGAGATAACGTATGATGAAAATCGAATTGTACGGTAACCATATCGTTGACAGGTACTCTTTGCTGAATCCGAATCTATCGTGGCCATGATGCCTGCTAGGGCCAATCTTGGTCTGTGTATTAGTGAGAACTTATTGGTGTTAATCGCTATCTAACACTACCGGTATGATGGAGCCTATGGGTCGCACACATAGAAGATAATTTAGAGCCAAGAAGAAAAGAGCGTGTTTCGTCTTTTTAGGCGAAAGAGTATTTTGGTAATTTCACAGTGCAATATTTGCTGAGGTCTTTTATTAATTTATTAAAAAATTAAATAAGTGAATACAGTTAATGTGTTGTTCCACATATTTAATTAAATCATCATTATTGTAATGTAATTATATTAATTGATTTTAATTAAGATAATGATGAATTAATTAAAATATCAAATGGGTGTGTTTGGCACATGGTGTTTTGGGTTGGAGCCCAGCCCATTCCATGTGGAATAGGGCAACTTGGTTTGCCTATAAAAAGAATAGTGTGTTTTATTGATTTAATTGATTTTGCCTTTAGAAAAAGAAACACAACAGCCCCTTACACTCTCCCACGCCAATATCACTGTTTGATGATGAAAATCAACTTTTCTTTTGTTCTTCTTGATTTCTTAAGGCCAAGGAGGATCTAGCAATCCCTCCTTGGTTCTTGGTGGTTGTCTTCGTGTGGACTTCTTGGTTCGATCCTACACTTGGATCGGAGCAAACACATTCGAGAAAACATTGGTGAGCCCCAAACGTGGGTATAAATCAACCTTTGGATTTTATTTTCTGCAGATTCATATTATGCATAACTGTAAAATCGTGCCTTGATTTGGGTTCTAAGAACGATCCGTGGTTGTAAAATTTTTGTTTTTTTGCTGCGCAACCGGTCGTTTCCTACAGTGGTATCAGAGCCTAGGTACTAGATTTACAGTTTATGAATGGTTGATACATGTATTTGTTGATACATGCTGCCTTGATGAATCTGCCATGAAAAACCAGTTTTTGAAAAATCTGAAAAATCTGTAACCATATTGAATGAGTGATTCATGATAAACTGGTTTAATAATGTGTTGAATGTTATATTGGTTGGTTAATATCCTGGTTGAACGTATGTGCGTTGATTTGATTTGGATTCGTGTTTATACACAAAAAACTGCAAAAACGCGAACGTACGATTGGGGATTTCCAGTTTCGCCGCGGCGAGGAGCCTTCTGACAGTTTCGCCGCGGCGAGATAAAACCTTCGCCGCGGCGAATTCTGTGGCGCTAGACCTAATTTAAATCCTCGCCGCGGCGAAGTATGCAGCAAGGAAGTGCATACGTAGGTCCTCGCCGCAGCGAAGATAAAACCTTCGCCGCGGTGAAGGCTTATTTTTCCAATTCTGTATTTTTGCAAAGGACCAATCTGCAGTTTTTAATAACCTATAAAGCCAATATACATTCTGCCACATTTAGAGGGAATTAATTAATTACACACCCAATTCAAAAATGATTGTTTTGAAATATATGCTTTGTACTTGTTTGTATATTGCATGGGTGCGGTACATGACCTTAGACCTAAGGGTGAATGTTTTAATTTTTTGGGTATGTATGGCTGTAATATTTTAAATAGGGCCTGCGGTCCTGCCTTCCTCTCTTCTTAATGTACATTCTTTTCTCATCTCATCCCCCTCGATGTAAATCGAGGTTTCTAAATTTGTTGTGTAAATTAGTTTAATATTAATTTTATTGTATTTAATGATGTTTTGTAATGTACCTGGAGACGGAGCGAAGGACAAGGCAACTATACTTGAAGACTCAAGATATCTGTTACAAGATCCCTAGGTGACCCCCTGATCCCTCTAGGCTCGAAAGATCGTTTTTAGTTAGCCATGTACCGGACGTTTAATATTTTGTTTAGAATCATGCTAAGGTTGAATGTTGAATAACATGGCCAAACAATGTCATTCTAACAAAATAATAATCTGATAGACTTAAATAACAAACCCCTCAACTAAGTATATTAAGTCACGAATGCCTTCCATTACCATGGTTTTAATCAAACCACTGTTCGTCGAAACCTTGTTCGCCAAAGCGAAGGGTACACTTCTACCAGTGGGAGGTTAAAATTCATTGGAGTTTTCCTTATGGTGATGGGTCGACTTAAAATGACGGTTTTGCTTGTTCGCCAAGCGAAGGTTGATAAACGCCATAGGCATAGTAGAGCAGTACACATTATGTGTGCTGGTGACATGTAGTGTCCCCTCTACTGATACTGAGAATCACACTTGAGGACAATGGTTGAGCCATTGAATTGTGTGATTGGCTTGTTGGCTTTTCACATTTGACGTGATAGTGAGCTATCAATTTGTGGATTAAGTTTGTTGGCCTACCTATCAACCCTTTGGCTTGTTCGCCAAAGCGAAGGTTTGAAATGGGCAGGATGGGATCGCGGTCCACTAGGAAAGCCAACGGGCTTTCCCGAGTTAAGAGTAGGGCTATTGGTTAGTAAAATATGGGAGCACGTTTAATAAAAGACCTTATTAAATAATATGAACTTTATGATACTTTATCTTTTCTG